ATCACTAGTTTGTCATTGTTAAAGCTTCTTTTTGAACCATCTGTTAGCTAATGTCATTAATTTACAGCTAACACGTTAGGTCGTGTTCGGATATTTCCACAGCATTTTTTAGAAGATTGATTATAACGGCTATTTAACTGCGATCATGTGAGTATCTCTCAAAACTGGCTTGTACTTGTCCAGCGTCGTCACAGTCAGCAGACTAAATCAAAGTCAGCCCTTCTTCTGTTGCTTATTGAAAACGTGTATTTTCTATCGGCAGAGTAAACCCGTGGCCGTGAGTCGAGGGGTTTCTCAGCCAGATCCCGTCAAAGAAGATCCCCCAGATCTGTTCAGTGAGGAAGAGGAGGAAGACGCCAGCAACACCAACACCAAGTCCAACGGTGTTCACTCTGATGATGACAACGACCTGTTTGCTGGTAAGAAAACCTGTATTTGTCCTTTTGATGACATTGACATTAATGACAAAACACATTTAATGCAAACTCAAAGCGTCATTCACTAGTTTTCACTTGATATGAATATGATACATAAACTATTGGACTATGATTTTCAATCTTAAAAATAGAGTATTTTCGCTTTAGTGAGTACTTGATGTCATTCTTTTCAACTATCAAATAGAGAAATAGTTCCTTCAGCTTAATTGATAGCAGATGTCTAAGAGCCTTAACACTACTGTGTAGTTTTTCTTGGTATGAGATTTTGTATCTGACATTGTTGAGCTGAAGAATACTTTTATTCCAAGAGTCAATGGTTTATAGTCAGCTAGGTTGTAAAGTTTTAAATGCTGACAACATTCAATCTAAAATAATAATATCCTAGATATATATGAGTAAGGCATATTTTAACAATCAAGTCATTTCTTTCCCCAGACGCTGATGTGGAGTTGACCACAGACAAGTCAACCAGCACTGGTAGGAAAGAGCTCTCAGGCTCTGCTGGTGCCCGGACATCCACTCTGTTCCCTAACAACCCTGTTCCCATGCAGACTGCATCCATGGAGCAGGTACAGTTCACTTTTCAGCTTCTTCTTATTAATTGTCTGCTAGTTGCAACACATTCTTTGTTTTTACGACATGGTCATAAAAATTGGACAAAGTCTTACATTTAAGTAAACTAAATTCAGACCTTTTTTTTTCTTGCATTTATTTCCGCAAAGGTTCCATTTTTCCCTCCTTGTTCTCATAATACAGTGCAACCTCATAACTTTATATTTACTTCATACAAAATATCATGGATTTCTGATGTTGTGGAACCCTTTATTCTTACTTTAGAATTACCACAGTCCGTTTCACACCCACTAAAGTCGTCACTTTGGCAGCTACTTGTATGTACAGTATATACAGGCATTGCTCAATGCAGTTCATGCTGTAAAATCTTGAAGTTACAGACTATAGGAGTCAGAGCCTTGGGCTCACATATGGAGTGAGCAAAACATGTATTCAGTAGCACATACACATTTCTACAGTTACTTGTTTAGCAATTGTGTCTCAAGTTGTTAAAAATGTACATTTCATATACAGTAGCCTGAGTTTTATGGCCACTGATAAGGAGGTTCATTTCTTTTATATGTATGGGAGAACAATTCTTAGATCAAGGTCTTAAGTTACATTATTAGTGGTCTTGAAATGGTCTTAAAAAGTCTAAAATCCTGGAGTTAACCTGCAGGGTATTTGTCTTACAAATATTAATCTATATGTTATACTTCAACTTTCTTATAGTGAAAGAAATAGATTTTTTTTTTTACATGTTTCATCTATAATCTTCTGTCTTCCTCGGGGGTGTCAATAGATTTTAAAGGAAACACCTATTTTGTCTGATTGTAAGAAACTAGAAGTATGAAAATATCTGCATTGAGACAACATGAATCTGGTGCAACTATATTCGTTTACATTTTTCTTTGTTTCTCTTCTTCTTTCTAATCCCAGCTGGAAGAGGAAGAAGCCAAGGATAGCTTTGACGTGGATGTTGCTGTCACCAATCCTGAGAAAATTGGTCAGTATATGCTTTTTCATACATCTGTTTGTCATTCAGAATCTTTGTGAAGTTTGAATTAATTTAAAAATCCAAAATTTTGTTAATATTGTCACCGACATGAAAGTTTCCTATGTTGGTCCTAGGTGACGGCATGAATGCATATGTGGCCTACAAAGTATCCACCAGGGTGAGAATGGAGCCTGTGATGACATCTGTCTTTTCTTCATTAGTATACAACTGTGCAAATCACTACTTTGTTTCATTGTTCCTACTTTTTTGTCGACTCTCAGACTTCTCTGGCAATGTTCAACAATAAGGCCTTCACTGTGCGGAGGCGTTTCAGTGACTTCCTGGGCCTTTATGAGAAGCTGTCTGTGAAGCAGTCGCATCAAGGCTGCATTATTCCACCTCCACCTGAGAAAAGTGTTGTAGGTGGGTGCTGGGTTCTTACTTCTTTAATATGTTTTTGTGCTGTTTATGTGAACAGTGTTGTACTTTCAGGAATGACCAAAATGAAAGTTGGACTGGACGATCCTTCGTCTGTGGAGTTTATGGAGCGAAGAAGAGCAGCTTTAGAAAGGTAACTAATAGCTGTTTTAGGCAAATATTGAGTTTTTATTTTCAACATTTAAGCACCTTCTGTCTTTCTTCCTTACGTCTGTACACTTTTTCACCTGTTTGTTTTTGTAGGTATCTTCAGAGGGTTGTGTCACATCCATCTTTACTTCAAGATCCTGATGTTCGTGAGTTTTTGGAAAGAGAAGAAGTAAGTAATTCAGGATCAAGAGCTGTTTTTTTATAAGATACATTTTATTTCAAGTGCAGATAAAAGTGAAAGGATACATAAATGTATTTTTCAATGACAAGTGGCATTTTATGACATTTCTGGTGTGTTTTTCTAGTTACCCAGAGCTGTGAACACCCAGACACTGAGTGGAGCAGGTTTCCTTAAAATGATCAATAAAGCTTCAGATGCTGTGAACAAGATGACCATCAAGATGAACGAGTCAGACACGGTAAGAGCAGAAGTTGTTTTTACTATTGCTTGTTGCGGTTTATGAAGATATACAGTAAATTCTATACAAAGGTTCAGTTTTTAACAAAGTAATTGGACAAAAACAATAATGTAGAGAATGTTTAGAAATAGAGGTGTCAGGAGAAAATTACTTTTGATGCATGATTTTATAATATTTAAATGATAGCAGAAAACTCAATTTTTTTCTTTGTATTATTGATTTGTTTAACACATGTCTTGCTCTAATATTATATTATATATATATATTAAAATATTATGACAAAAATTGAATATATTTGATATTCTTTGTTTAGTTAAAACAACTTAAGTTTGAAATGAAGCATTAATGCTATTTTAACTGTGGTCTGTGTCAGTGGTTTGAGGACAAGTTCCAGGAGGTGGAGAATGAGGAGCAACAGTTGAGGAAGCTCCACATCGTGGTCGACTCCCTGGTCAATCACAGGAAGGGTGAGCTTCATCTGTCTTTTCACAGCTCAGTCTCTGTGTTCATGTGTAGCTGCAGCTGTCAGTGCATGTCAGAGTAAAACACATCAGCTGATGAGGTTTTATGTTTCCTCCACAACACAGAGTTGTGTGGGAACACTGCAGTCTTTGCCAAAAGCATGGCCATGTTGGGAAACTCTGAGGACAACACAGCTCTGTCACGAGCCTTGTCTCAGCTGGCAGAGGTGGAGGACAAGTTGGAGCATCTGCATCACGAGCAGGCAGCCAGTGACTTCTTTATCCTTACGGAACTGCTGGCCGACTACATCCGTCTGCTGGGTGCTGTGCGGGTACGGTGACAGTTACACGGGGCAGACTGGCAGTTAACACAAATATAAGTAGATCATTTTTCAGAAAAGCTAGAAATTAACATGACATTCTTAGATATTTAGAAGAAAAATAATAATAAATAGAAATATATGATTTGTGTAATAACAGCATGTGTTGGCTGTTTTTGTTTTTTAAAGCAGAGTTAAGTGGATGCAAGGTGGAATTATTTGACATACACTGTGTATAATTCATAATCAGAATTTTATTCTGATTGTTCTGTCAAATAATTGAATCTGGACAACTTTAGCTTTAACATATGTTATTGTGTGTTAAAGCTGGTGATCACTTCACTGTTTTGATGATAAGAATTAAAGTATTGTACAGTACTTTGTTTTAATTTGATGTTACAGGGCTGTTTTGACCAGCGTATGCGAGCATGGCAGAGGTGGCAGGATGCTCAGAGCACGCTCCAGAAGAAGAGAGAGGCAGAAGCCAAGCTGCTGTGGGCCAACAAGCCAGACAAACTGCAGCAGGCCAAGGAAGAGATCACAGAGGTGCAATGACAAAGATACTTCCATTTTAATCAGTTAAAAATGAACAGATGGCTATGTTTTTAGATTAGAACAAGATGATATGGTGCATTTTGATATTTGATATAAATGAATAGTAAAAATGGATCAGTTGGGTAAGGAAAAAAAAACAGAAGCAGTTATACATTTAATGCTAAACATGGAGCATGTAAACGCATGTTTCCCATTTCAACCAACAACTATTCTTACCATTGTGTCATATTATCTGCATCAAAGTATTTTAGATATCTTACAGTAATCTGTATTCTTTCAGAATGAATTTAGTTGTTTTCTAAATAATTAATAAATGTACAGTGTGAGAATAATGGTAGTAAAATATCCAGATTTTATGTTATTTCATTGCTGCTGTTCTCTTCGTGTGCTTCGTCAGTGGGAATCCAAGGTCACTCAGTATGAGAGAGATTTTGACAGGGTTGGAACGACTGTACGTAAGGAGGTCCTTCGTTTTGAGGTACAGTTGTTTTTTTGTTGTTGTTTTTTTTTTGTTAAAAGCAATTTTTACAACATTATAACCATTTTATACATTTGGCCAAATATTGAAAACAATAATATTTGTTACATATGCTGGTTGTACTTACTAGTTGTAAGTTTGTGTCTGTTGAGGATTATTGCTTAAAAACTCCATTCTTTTTACAATTTCACATTACAGTATGAAACTAAAGTGGCTAAAATGAAAGCCACAGAGCATGACTCGATGTAAAAACTCGACTTGAAAAGGCAAATACTTAATCTAACAATGATATTATTGATACTGATTGACTGTTTGAGGGATGTAACGAGACTTGTCCTTGCAGAAAGAAAAAGCCAAGGATTACAAGAGACAGATAATCAAATATTTGGAGACAATGCTTCAGTCTCAACAACGGGTAAATAAATACTTATGTTATATGTTGTGTTATTAGCTACTCTTGTTGTTTTTTCTGCCATCAAACTATTAAACCTACATACAACTAATGAATGTCTAACAATAACAATCCTCCTTGTCTTGTGTTGCAGCTTATAAAGATCTGGGAGGCTTTCCTGCCGGAGGCAAAGGCAATAGCTTGATGAAGAGAGAGACTTTTTTTTTAAAGACCCTAAATGCCTTTTTTTAAAACACTTTACCTCTTGAAATTGAACTTTGAGAGGAGAATTTTAAAATACTAAAACACCACCATTCATCATACTTTCTAGCTTTGTATTTACTGATTTTGTTGCATTAGACAGGGCTACTCTGGTTCTTTTGGACTGTATGATGGCGAAAAGTGGGGAAACATAGGGGCTTAAGCTAATTGTGATATTTGTACATAGGGGCTTAAGCTAATTGTGATATTAGCTAATTGTGAAGACCACTCTCTGCAGGATATGTTACATTGTTTAAACCAGTTTATTCATGACTTTATTCTGTGGTACTGCCTAGGTTTACATGTCTATAGTTTACATTAGATAATAGACTTATGAAAATCATTCCAAACTCTAACAGCTTATGTTGAAGGATGCTTGTTGAATAATGTTTTCCTGCACTAAAATGTATTATACAGCTAAAAGAATAACAGCTATAGGGTGAGGGGGGGTTCCTTTTTTTCTGTTGCATTAAATATTACTAATTATAACAGGTCATTAACCAGGAGTGTTACCACATTGTTACAGTGCACTACACTATGCATATTAGATAGAAATCATACTGAAACTTGTACTTGATCACAGGCCTGTGAATGACTTGTCATGGTAAAAGTAAATTTTCAACCTTGTGGTTGGTATTCACTAGAATCATGTTACTCCATTCTGTTGCTGTTGTTTTGTTTTTGAGGCCCAAATGATTTCAGTTTGAATTGCTGCCGAAATGTACTGCCATTGTGTAACTGAATCCAGATGTATGTGAGCACATTAACAGTATTTGTTGAATTTTACATGTAACCATGCTTTTTTGATAATCTGGTATTAATGACAGGAAGACAGTCATTCAACCTGACACAGGCTCTTATTTTCTTATCAAGCATTTGTAAGTGTAGTTGTTTTCTGTCATGTCATATTTCTGTAAGAATGTGCTTTATTTTTGTAACCACTTTGCATTGGCACACATATTTTCCTGTAAATGCCACAGTTAGATGTACACAAATAAAAAATATGATTGGATAAACTTTAAGTAATGTTTTTTTTTCTTTTCTGGTCCTGTTATTACCCAGTGATTTGCTCAGTGCTGCCACTGTATAATGAAAAAATAAATAAACTCATAAACTTTATGAAACTAGTGACGCCATACTCTATAAAATGGAATAATGCATAACTTAAGACACTTACGGTAAATAGGTTAAATATATAGAAGTAGTGGTGGGCAAGATAATGTATTTTTAATTTGTTATTGTGTTATCATTTGCGTTGACAGTTTTATTTTGAAAGTATTATTTTCAACAGAGTGCATTTTCTTTAAATACTCAGGTCTTGGGAGGTGTTGGACGTCTTTCAGTACTTGCTTAGTTCAGGTTATGCGTATTAAGTGTTAGAAATGATCTTATATGTATTTAGTGTTTGCAACACAAAGGTCATTGTACTTTATTCATACAAGAGTGCTTTCCAAAAAAAAAGTACTACTGGACAGCTGTAACTCTGGTTGAAGACTTTGCGCCACTGTGACCTGGAAGTGTGCGCAGTGAGGCGGGCGGTGCCGTCTTTCTACATCCGGTGTGTTGGAAGCTTCCTCGGGCAGCGAAGGCAGTCGAACAGCGAAGAATGGAGATCCCTGGCTGCTAACATTTTTGCGCTGTTAGAGTGAAACCCTTCAGACACAAACGGAGATAAAACTCTTGGTCTTTGCAGCAGCAGTCGCAGGTTGAACGGTTTTCTGCGGCAGATATCGCGACTGTGTCTACTCGGTCTGGATTATTATTATCAGTGAAGGTGAGTCAAACTAACGTCAGGCAGCAGAATTTTCCTGTTAGCTGCTGCTGTTTGCTGCTGAAAGGCTAATTTATTTCCTTGTTGCGCTCGGACGCAGCTGTCACCCACACATGAGTACGTGTTAGCCGAGGGTTTTTTACACAAAGCTTCCCCTCTGTCTGCTTCATTTAGCCTCTGTCTCACTGTTATCGCTAACAACGACACGTCTGTGTCGTGATTCCAAGCCTCTGTGGCTAAGTCATGTTTGGCTAGTGTTAGCTATGTGCGGGTGCTTAGTCAGATGTATTATGTTGATATTAGCAGGAAAGCTAACGTCGCAAACGTTTAGATTGTCTTTCTGATGGATATATCTGTCACCGAGAAGTGGGCCCTGGCTTTGTCCGCCAAACTCTGGTGTTCAGCTGCCAAGCTGGCTTCCTTGTTGTGATTGAATCGGAGGCCTGCTGACAAAGGATCGATCATCTTCATGTTAGCCACAGCTGCCTCCACTCAACACTACCACACTCTGGGAGTCTAGTGTCACTCCAGTAAAAAGTAGCTTTAGTCAAAGTTTACCAAGGCCCTTTCACATCAACATTGACAGAGTTGAAAAGAAGCGTTTGATAAATTAATTTGACCATAACAGCGTGGTATAGACAGTCCAGATGGTTAAACACTTTTCTAATACTCTAAATGCCTTTTATACTGTATCTTTACATATATATATGTTTACCTCACTTCACTGCATGTAGCAGGAAATAAGCCATAAGCACACTTCAGCCTCCTATTGAAGTCCTCCCATGTGTTGACAAACCAACTACAACTCATAATCATTGTTATAATGGATTCCTTGGAAAATTGTTTCATTTGTTATCTCGTTGGACCTAAAAAGACGGTTAACAAGGTAAAACAATTTTGAGCCCAAAATATAACAATGCTAGTCTGTCATTCTTTCATAAGTTATAATAATGCATATGGTTAGTGTGTCTATATGTCCATAATGTTGCTTTATACATTATTTATATCAATACAACTACAGGATTTTAAGGACCTACCTATTTTGAATCTTGAGTTCCTTTAGCAAAATGTATTTAGTGGTTCTCAAACTAAATGTACCACTGCTGATGCTTGGGCTCCTTGTGGTCCCTTTAGAATTAGGGTAGTCATTGATCAGTTAAATAATCTATTCAAATGTATGGTTGTACAAGTGCAAGTTGTTGTGCTACTTCATTGTACAATGTATCTTTGGCTGACTAACAGTCTGTTAAGCTTATTAAGAATCAATTCTCTTCTTCATATACTGGTCTTGGCTGAACAGGGTAGGACACTGTCATGTATGTAAATTTTGGTCATACTACTATTATTCAAGGGGACAGTTATTTTCAGATGTGATACGGATTATGTACAAAATTGAGTTCCACTGTGTAAGATGGCATCCTGTATATGTGGCATTGAATACCATGGGGTTAGTTTCATGACTATAATCTGCTTGCAATGAGGAAAATCTTCTCAAAATGTATCCCTCAAGTGACAAAGGAGGGAGGAAGGGATGGAAATTCTATAGCCAACAATGGACAGAAAGTTATTCAAAGGACAACATCAGTCGCAGTCTCTTTATTTGTGTTTCCTTCCTACATGATTACCAAAATATTTCAATAATCACAGACTGCGGGTGATAAAACAGGGAGTCAGAGACAGTTTGGTTATTTTCTACATAATTGGGTTAGTTAGAAGCTTTAAAAAGCAATAAGATGATCATATAATCATATCATATTTTTGAAAAAATGAGACTGTGGTTCCATGATAGGTACACAATAAATGGTTTGACTTGACAAATAGAAATAATCTAAATTTCTGCCAGTTTGTATCAAGGTACTGGGTTAGAGCAAAGGGGCAGCTCTTAACTGGTATTGCCTCAGCAGGACTCCACACTGTTGGCAGCCCCCCACAGACTGATCTTTTCACTGAAGGTTAATCACTCCACTCAGATCCTTGATATTTCTCTTTAATGGAAACGAAGACGACTGCTTAGTTAATGGATATTAACAAGATTTTCAAGGTTTTTGACAGTAAAAAATGTGTAGTGTTGTTGATGTGAATGTAAAGAGTTTGTTAAGAGGTTATCTTATCTAATTTAAATTTAGATATTAAGTCGTATTAAATTATCAAACTCTGCTAAGTGTTTGCACGTTTGAATGTCTTTTAAAAAAGGGTCAGGATTAATGTTTGGGTTAAATTTATATTATCACAATATTGTTATATTACTATATTTTCTGTATTCAGCCGTGACATTAATTCACACAGCCCTGACATTGTTGTTCACGTATCTTTATTTTCTATTCAATCATTCTGTTTTATTGTTTTTTTGTTCATTCAAAAACAGCATTCACTAAAATCATTGTAATATTTTCAGTTGCTGTAGAAAATGTGTTTTCTGAAAACATTTTTAAAAGGAAGATTAGGCTTTAGGCATTCTCTGGCATATGAGAGTTTACACCCCTTTAATGTCACTTTCCTACTGAGATACAACATCACTTTTATTCATTGCCAAAAGGTGTGTGCACATCAAACACATCCTTATTTACCAGGAGACACGGCGCTGACACAGCGATAACATCGCAACAACACCAAATCTGAACAAGCTATTTAATGCAGATGCTTCCAATATTAGACCAGAAATTATCACTGATTGGGCTTGAATAAATGCTGTTAATTACATCTAAAATATTTTTAAGAAATACTTTACTTCAACAAGAGAAACATGTCCTGCATGGCCTGGCAGAGTTTAGCTGGTAGTGTTTTTGCGATTAGTTAACTAGTTGAAGATTTTCCCTGCCACACAAGGAATAATATAAACTGATTATTTGATTTTTTTAAATTTTTTTTTTTATTCATTGCCTTGGCTTTTTCAGTGTCTATGGTAACCCTCTGGCCATTATCACAAGTCTGAATAGAAACATCCAAGCTCTGTTTTATTGTTCTTCGCCTCATGCTAGCTGATGTTAGCCTGTGATGATGGCCTATTAAATTAGTTGGCAAATGTGTTGTGTTCGAAACAACCAGCTGACTTTTCTAGTACTATCCATAATTAACCAAGTTCGTTGTTTGATTGTGGCAGGGTTAAAAACATTAACTACATTAAAATACAAGTAAAATGCTTTCTTAGAGCTAGGAGACTGGAAAAAACTAAAAACACATTTTGTCCTTTCCTGAACATGTCTTTAAAAACAGGTGAAATTCCTTTTGAGGTCCATAGTACCTATTATTATGTTAATTATTTATACAGACACACTCTCCACCTCAACACAAGGTGTGGTGGAATAAAAACAAGTTGGATCAAAACCTCAAACTCTTTTTCAGCTCAGCCTGAACATTCCCATTTTTCCTCTAATCTGTGAAACATACAGTTGAACTGCCTTTTCATTTTCATCAAGCAGAGGACAATGTTTTTTCTTTACAACTATGTAGGATAAATTATTCTAGACGTTGTATTTGTTGTGACTCTCATTTTGAAATGTTATATTGAAATGAAGTGGATGTAAGAACATAATACACAGATCAAATGCAATGTCCACACTATATGTCACAAAGCTGTTGAATTATTGAGTTTCATTGTTAAAATAGATTTTTAGTTGTCCTTAACAGACATGTCCAGACATGTTTCAGAAAGACTTCATGTGAGAATAATCTAAAAAGAAGAATGAATGACACCTGCATGAAGCAGTTATTAAACCTGTCCACCTGTCACAGCGGTGCTATTGTATAATTTATAAGTTAAATTATAGTTTGCTTTATTACTAATATAAAAAGATATAAAATAATCAGTATGTGTGTCATAGCAGTACTCTCTTTTACAATGGCTCCAGGAGAGTTTAAGTACTTCATTTTTGTCCTTTCCTGTTTTATTTATTCTTTAAGTATTCAGCACTTCAGTACTGAAAATCTGTGAGTATTTATCCACTATGGAAAATTACTCTCTGTATTTAACCCGTCTGTGAAACACCCCAGTGATTAACTCCAGACTCACTGGAGCAATGAGCTGCTCCAGGGAAGGACTGGGGTTTGAGCACTCTTTAAACCACTTCTCCACAGGCTGACCTATGCTTTAGTGTTATCACTGAAAGAAAGGGTTGACACATTTAGTTAGTTCGTTTTGGTTGATAGAATTATGTTTATCTCATTGTGCTAGTGTGACAGTGGTGAGACTCCAGTTTGCCACACAGAAGCTCCAGGGTTTGATGCCACCTTGGCTTGATATCCCAGGCTGAGTTGTGTTACGTGGCGTTCGCTGTAAATAAGAAACAAAAAGCAAAATTACAGTGTGACCTACCTCTGTGGTCAACCCTGATTGAGGGATAAGTCAAAAGTGATTTACGCAAGTTTATTTTCTAACCTGTCAGACTTTTCCCCCGTGTAATGTTTGTATCAATGTCTTGTGTCAAATTTTCTCTGTCAATTCTATTTTCATTTACTTTCTATCTATTGTCTTAATCTGGTTCCTTTCATTGTAGAATACTGACACTGGTCATCTGATCTTTGAGAATATTGTGTTTGGAATAGGGCTGCCCATCGATTAAAATGTTTAATCAGATTTATCACAGAGTAGCGATGGGTAAATCATGATTAATCAAGTTAAATTGTGATTCCTAAATATACCCAAAAACCATGTTTTCAGTATATTGCTAGAACAGAAAGACGTAGCAACAGGAAGATGTGTTTCACACCTGTTTTATTCTGTGGCTTATCCAAACGATAAAGTAAATGAAAAAAATGTTTAAAATTATTTGGTCATTACTGACTAGATGTTAGAGCAACAATAAATGTAAGGCCAGTGGAATTATTGGATATACAGTGCGTTCATTGATTATTGCTCTTGCGATAAACAGACATGCAAGCAGTGTGTTTGTGTATCCACAACGCCTTGTTTGTGAAGAAGGTAACCTGAGTGAATCTCAGAAACGGTGTTGCATCCTGAATTAGAGTCACATTGAGATTGTTTACACTATGAAATCTGTTACAGCTAGCCACTGGTCTTTGCTACAAACCTGTTCCACTCCCAAATTGTTATGTTCCTGTTTTTTTATGTAAAAGCACCAGTGCACAGTTGCCCTAGTGAGTAAACCAGCCATCTTTAATGCTGTGATCTGTGCTGGCAATACTTGGTATGAGTCATCTGAAAGCCCACACACACACCAAGACACCCATACACATACATTGAGTTTCAGCCTCTCCATGTTAAAAGATTGGACAATTGTCATGAAGTTGTAAGACTTTTTTTTAATCGAAAAGGTAACTGCAGAAGAGTTTGTTTAAATTCAGAAAATTACAACAGATGACTAATGATGAACTTACACGTTAAATTTATTCATTTAATTTCTAATCCTAAATCTCTTTTAGAGTTGAAGGACAGCTAAAGACAATTTCCAACAATCATTAGCCCAGGGTGGGTCACACCCTGGACAGTTCACCAGTCCATCACTGAGCCACATATAAAGACCAAAAGTTACCACTGCAGATCAAACTAGTAATCTTCTCGCTAAACTGAGTATACTGTGAATATAAAATTTAATTATTTGCACTGTAATATTTTGCTGTATAAAGGAGTTGACTGAATGATTTAGATAAGCACAAAAATAGACCTGTGAGCGTTGCTGTTGATTTTGATTTCCATAGTTGTTTACATAACATTCCCTTAAGACATAATCTGCTGGGCTGTAGTTGTGGGTGGTGTTGTTTCCTAGATGCCTACATCAGTCATTCCTTAATGTTTAATAACCACTGTTGGTTGACTACTCTAAGTGAAACTATTCTGTCCAATTTTAGCACCATTACTTTGATAATAAGTTTGATTCCATCACATAAATAAAAGTCACAGTTTACCAGGTGGACGATGACTTTCAGCATTATCTGTCTTTGACTTTTTCTGAACTAGTGCCACCAGTCCTTTATGTGGTATGTAAACGTGTGGGCCATTCTGCAAAGCTGCTGAAATACATTCTTGGCTGCAGTTTGTCCGCCTGTTAGACACAAACTTGGCATCCCATGAAATAGATCACAAATGTCTCTTCATTACTTCGTAACAGCAGCACTGCCACTGTTGGCTAACAGCAATACTGTACGCAAATATTTTAACTATAGTTTCATAAGCCCTTGTAAAAAGTAGATTTGTTGCTGCTGTTGTTTTGATCAAGAATGTGTTACAAAATTTCTACCAAAACATGACAAAAAGTGCTGTTTTTCCATTTGGTATTTTAATGCCTTTATCTTCTCCATTGTGGTTAAGTGTAAATGGTAGAAAAGACGGTGTAAACTGCCATTTAACACTACAACTAACAAAGTCTTTTATCCTTTGAAGTCAAAAAGTGAAAAAGAGCTGTCACGCTTGAGTGCTATATGACAATCGTTAGCATTTTTCTTTAATTGTGCAGGTGTTCATGAATTGCGAAGTCCTAACTACAACTGTGCCTATAAATATTCCAAGACATATCATGTCAGGGTAAATCTCTAACACAAAATCTGACTCTGGGTTTTCTTTCAGATTATTAGATTAACAATTAAACAATAATAAAAATTAAATATCAATAAAAGGGCTAAATATCACTGATGATTGACTAATTTTCTTTAAAATGAAATCAAGCCCTTGTGAAAAAGTACGTTATTCACCCTAAATTTTGTTGCATTATTATTCTGTGGTGAGAACTCCCATTAAATTCACTCCTCTTTTCTGTCCTGCACAGGCTCTTTCTTCATGTGACAGATGTTGAAGCCAGAAACCATTCTCTTGGAAAAGTGTTAGTGATGACAGCCTGAGGACAAGGAGGACTATAATTTGGCTGCTCCAGGTTTTGTCCGATGAGCCTGACTGTGCTGCCCAGGTGCTGCCAGTGACCCGGGCTGTGGCTGTGGTGGGCCCAGCCCAGGAGGCCTTCTCGTACATCACTCTAGGTGTGCACTGACCTGTGCTGCTCACACTATGGATCAACAAAGAGAAAAATATGGCGAGCGGCCCGCCAGGAGCACCAAAGTTTCCCAGGGAAGCCGCAGCGGACATTCGTCCCGTCCATCGGGATCATCAAGCTCCTCGGGCGTCCTCATGGTGGGGCCCAACTTTCGTGTGGGCAAGAAGATTGGCTGTGGAAACTTTGGTGAACTAAAGCTCGGTAGGTTTACTTTTAATGCACGTTAGTTGGTAATGCAGTCTGAAAGGCCGCAGAGGTTCTTATCATCACTTTGACTTGCATTTTCCATTATGAATAATTTGTATATACTTAAGTGGTGACCTTATGTTTTTTAAGGCCCTCTAATGTTTGCTTTCCTTCTCTTGTCTCATTTCAGGCAAAAACCTCTACACTAATGAGTATGTAGCTATTAAACTGGTAAGTGCAGCATATTTACTTCATGAACTGATGACAGGGGTCCATGATTTACAAAATATGAGATAAGTCATTTAGATAAACCTGAAATGTTTTTAATGCTTAGTCGTTACTCATCATACTGTTAGATCATGAAGACAACACAAACTAGACAGCTGTATTCTTGTATTCTGTAATCCTAGACAGCTGTATTCTTGTATTCTGTATTCTTTTCCCTGAAAGTTTTGATAGATTATTACAAGAAATATGACTTTGAACCAGCTGTTCACACTGAGGATGAAGTCAGGGTTGATGTCAGCTTGTTTTGTTACTGGACGTTATTGGTCTTATTTTAATGGAGAAATGTGAATCATTCTTGTCTGGATGTGTTTTTCCAGTAGCTGCTGACCTAGAAGTCATCCCTCCAGTATTTGATACTGGCCACGGGAGACTTGTAATTTACGTATCACATCATTAGGCTTAAATGTATGAGGTGCTGACACGGATCTAATGGTTTAGTGAGAGTCGGCCATGTTTGTTTTTTTTAAATGTTCATGTTTGGATCATGGTACATATTGACACACGGTTAACATAATCCAATCATTACAGTTTCTTTGGTCAGATTTCCATTTTGACTCATTGCCAGTGTTTCTGCTGCTTATTAAAAAAACAAAATAAAGTTTGTTTTCTTGGTGTTTTCTCATTCTGCCGTCATGTTTTCATCAATGGATTTGTGACTTGATTGTCACTCATTGATGTTTCTTTTTCTCTAATTTGTGACCACTCTGCAGGAACCAGTGAAGTCGAGGGCGCCACAGTTGCATTTAGAATATCGGTTCTACAAAACTCTGGGCAACACAGGTAAGGCTGCTGATGCGTTTCTTTCTGTTTTCCTGCATGTGGTGAATGAGAGTTGATTGACCGCTGTAAGATTAGGACAGAAGATTGTACTGTTGTCACAACAAGTCATCACTTCGCTCAGGTTGACTGTGGATATTTAACTTTGTCAGCAACATATTTAAATCCCCTGTTGACATGAGACTTTGAATCATGTTCTTTGCATCATTGTGCAGAGAAAAAGCTGTTCATATAAGCTGTTAATATGATCTAATATAATTAGTTCACTGTTAGTGAAAACACAACAAAAAAGTCAGTCTACATCAGGTCATATTAATGGTATATACTTGTATTATATCACATATCTTTATCTTTGAAGCTTTACAAGCCAGTATTTACAGTGAACATCAGATTAGTCGACTCATTGTCCCTTATTTTACTCTCCTCATCATTTTTGTCACAAAAGATTAGTCATGGTCTGGTGACACGTCTCTAACAGTGGTACCACATACAAGACTCCCATCATGATCTAATATGGGCATAACATACTGTTGCATTAGGAGCTAACATTTCTGTAGGTTGTAAACAATGGTCGGTCATGAGAGTGTTATAATCTAAATTGCAGTGAAGTATTTTTGTGTGTCTTCTACTGGCAGTGAATTCATTATAAATTGTAACTGAATGGCAATGGACAATTTAAGTCTGGTCTGAGCGACAGCTGTGAAAGAAAACCATTCTCATGGTTTTATTTTGTGTGAGCTGTGTTCCTTAGTGGAGACTTTGAACCTCCTTATTCATATAAGAAAACCAGACAGGGAGCACAATGGCTATTGTTTTGCAAAGGCAAAGGCTGGAAAAGGCCAACTGTGCGGAAACTCATTAAATATTTAGAGAGTGGGTCTGACTCTCAGTACTAACCTGCCTCTGTCCTCTCCTCCAGATGGGATAATGTGACCTCATTTCTTTTTGCCTGTGTGCTGTGCTGTCTTCCTCCATCAGTGTTTTTTGGTCAAAATGTTTGTGTAACAGCATCTTTGTGAATTTGTGCGGTTGGAGTCATATGCTCAGTCAGATGAATTTTATCTGATGCATATCAGGCCCTCACTGATTATTAATGAGGAGGATACAGTTTAGAATAACATCTCCTTGAATCACAGTATTACTTCTGTAATTAGGGCTGCCTCTTTGCTACAGCCTCACAACACGGCGGACTATGAGACAACATTGTCCTACGGACAAGACGTTGTTTTAAAAACCTACAGTCTTGTTGTATTATTACAGACATTGACTCTGGGTCTACACTATGAAACCTTACACCTGCTCTGTAACCGTTTTAGTCCCAGTGAGTAAAGGCTTCCGATAATGAAAGTGAGTGGTCTTGTTCCTGACATCTGATTTGTAACAATCAGAAAAAGAGAATAAGAATGAAGGACAGAATTGAGTTTAAAACAATGAAAATGGGTGACAAATTAGAGAGTAATGCTTCTTAAAGGCCCTGACATTATAATCTGAGTCAACAGAAATGTGAATAGGTTGCAAAACAGTTGTTAGGTGTCCATATGAGTATTAAAGAGCAGCTGCAACCTTTGAGATGTTAGTCAAAACACATCTTGCAGTCTATGCACACACAATGACTTAAAGAGAATTTCTGCAGCCCTCCTGTTATTACAGCGATAAATTATTAAAAACTAATCAGATGGTCAGAATTAAATGGTCATGCTCTGGGAATATTTTTTTTTTAAATATCAAACATATTTGATTTTTAATAGCTGTTTAAAAACCTCCCGTCAGAACATGGTGTGCGAGCTGATATGGAAGAAAGCCAATCAGTCTGGTTTTGAAAGCAGACACATTCATTACATTTAGTTCTGATTCTTTTACTTTTGTTGGCTGCAGCCAGCTCTTTATTAAATTACACCAATGCAAACGGAAAATGGCAAACGGACATATTTGTGTTGAAATGTTGAAATGAAAAATGTTCTTTTATTTTACTTGTCTCTTGAAAATATATGTCCTTTGACCTGTTTGTTGCAATGTTAGAACATTCACCAACTTTTCTGGTAAAAAGGAACTTTGTCTTTTTTAAATTTAAGCTATTTAGAATAGCCATGGAAATTCCATAGAAAATAGAGGGTTTTTTTCATTTTTTGTTAATTGTAAATCTCTTAATGTGCTGACAGTGGAAAAGTGTGATCTGAACACCAACTCATCAGAATGAATAGTGAGCGGTCCTTTTTAAGAAGTACGACACAGCAGTGAAGCACTGTTTTTACATCCATCAATTAACCTTTTTCCTTGAACCAAGCGACTGGGGCACTCCAGTTCATTGACATTATCAGATGACAGAGCTGACCTCCTTTTCTGCACACTGTGGCCCGTCAAAAATAAATGGTCTCTCCAATGACACAGGTGAGGCAAATATAGCCAAGCACCTTTGTGCAATATGTGCCTGTTCTGTACAGGCTTCTGTGCAGACAACAGCAAAATAATCAGTTGTGGTGGTTCATAAGTAAACTAACAGCACAGTGTGTGGCTAGTTCCTCAGTTTTATATTTATTTGAACAGACATTTTCAGCCTCACTAGTTGAAAATAGCTGTATTAATTATTCTGGTACATTGCTAGCATAACAACACACACACATACATTTATATATACAGATCAGTCTTATTGTTTTTGATCAGGGAGGCATTTCACAATGATCTAAATCTTGCTAATGCAACTTCCAAGGTTGTAGCATGGCTTTCTATCTATATTGACAGAAGTGTGTTTTTGTGTAGGTTTAACTTTCCCTCTACAATAAGAAGAACAGGACTCTCAGACTCAAACTCCAATTAAAGCTGTTTGCTGTACATAATAGTGTTTCAGCTGCCCCTTGTTTCAGTCAAAAGCTTATTTAACCCAGTTTCCAGTGAAGCAGGCATTTATCCACTTTTTTTTTTAAGCAAACCTTTAATATGACACATTTCAGGCCTCCCACTGACTACTGGGGTTTCAAAGCACTCATTCCAACGTTACAATTAACAACCCACAGAACGGCATAATGATGTCCAGAAACACAAGATGGATCACTGCATGACTCCTACGAGGCCATATGTTAGCTAGCTGACGCCCTGTGTGCCACATTTCATGATAAAGTCTGGTTCCTAAAAACTCGGCAAAACCATGTCTTTGAAAAATATTCACTATGCAAGTATTGGAATAGTGCACCTAGATGAGTGTTATCTACTTGTCAGGTTCTGGTTCCCACATTACATTATTCAGTAACAAATAGATTGAGGTGTCATTTACACTGACACAAAGCAGAATGAGTTTTTTCAATAGCTAAAAACAGAGCTGAATCAGTGTGTTTTTATTTAGGAGCTGATGACAGCTTTTTGTTGCCACTCAACAATTTGACTCATTTTTTCTTGCTCTGAACCAGTTAAAAGACACTGACAAAGCGGTTTATTTAATGTTTACAGTAGTGTCTAAAGAAAGTCATTGGCTTAAATTTACACTAGAAATGTTAAAAGCCTTTATGGTATTTTTTCTTTTCTTCAAAGTGAAACTGTTGCCACATTAGACACACGGGTTTTATCTCATCTCTCAATTAAACTGAGAGTAGAATAAATAAATATGATATTAAAAGACTACAATTAAAAAGACAACTTTCTGCATATTTAACACAGCCAGCTGAACTCTGTCTCCTGCTGTCCTGTAAACAAAGAGGGTGACACTGTTTCCCGGTTTTGATAAACAAATGAACACACAATGTGTTGGTTAAATAAGTTTGGACAACAAAGTAAATAGATGAATTCTAGGCCCCTAATTATGGAGATACTTAAGTAAACTTCAAATCAGGGTAAGGGGACATGAACTGAAGAAGGGAAACACACAACGCTTGCTGACCCGTGTGCAGCTGGTTGAGGTGAAAAGCCGTTACAGAGGTCACAGGGTCACCACATGTGTTTGAGTACGAGTACTTAAAAGTATTTGAATGAAATGATTGAGTTATTGCTACCTGTTCTTCCCTAGTTTTAACTGGCATAGCTTTGTCTGGGTAAGGATGTGATGCTTGCTTTGACCTAAAAATTTAGATTTTTCTTTTCTCATAAAAAGCCAATGGCTTTAATGAGGTGTATTTCTGAGTTCTATTGCCTGCTTTGTGTCACAAAAAGTGAGAAAACCACCAGCCCTACAACAATGAATTGTCAAGAGAAAACTTTAAAAGTCTAGATGGCAGATGGAAGGTATTTGGGATAAATTAGGGAGGAGATCAGAGAGGATGTGATTCAGAGAGAAGTTTTGAGACAATGAAGAGAAGCAACACAGTTACTGGAACAGTGTTAATGGGTTACCTTGAGCTTTTCTTGCTGTGTCCTGGGTGACCTCACGATGCCCCTCCTGTCTGTCAGGCTCAAGGCCTGTGGTTACTTTGGACCTCAGTAGAAACACCATTTCTCAGGAGAGACAGCAAAAATAAACACTGCTGCCAGCCTGACTCTGGGAAGCCCCACAAGTGCATACAAACTGGAGAATCAGATAAAGTCTTGTGTTTATTATCTATTAATATTTGCCTTTCCCTCTGACAGTTTGCCATTATCAATGGTCTTTGTGTTAGTCTTTGCCCTCGTAAACCATAGTCATTAAACAGGGAGGCTCTTAGAATTCTTTGACTGACGAAGGGAGGAGGAAGTCCAGCTTGGCCCCTTGTGGCTGTAATTTTTATTCTCATTTCAAAATAAATCTAACCTATAATTCCTTGTTTTCCCAGCAGAAGGAGTTCCCCAGGTGTTTTACTTTGGTCCCTGTGGGAAATACAATGCCATGGTTCTGGAGCTGCTGGGCCCAAGTCTGGAGGACCTCTTTGACCTTTGCGACAGGACCTTCTCACTCAAAACTGTTCTGATGATAGCAATCCAGTTGGTGAGTTCACATGGTTGTGTGAATTGCACTCATTCATTCTTCTTTCATCCTGTTTGCATCCGGGAACACCTGAAACTGATAGCAGCCGACATAAAGCTAATGGCAGGTTCACTGTGGACAGGTCACCAGTCTGTCATGAAATAAAGATTTTGATACATGTGCATTATATATAATCCGTGTAATGTTTTCTCATCATTTATATAGTGTACCACACTAGCTTTGTTCCCTGTTGATAAAATTATACCAACTGTAAATAAAATATATTTTATATATATATAAAAAAAGACTGGATAAAGTTCCAGTGTCATTAGATATAAATGTATGTTTATAAAGTGTTTTCAAGAGTAGCTGACCTGTGTTTGTCTTACTCAACAGATTTCTCGAATGGAGTATGTGCACTCGAAAAACCTCATCTATAGAGATGTAAAACCTGAAAACTTTCTCATTGGACGACAAGGGAATAAGAAGGAACACATCATCCACATCATCGACTTTGGCCTGGCCAAAGAGTACATTGATCCCGAGACCAAAAAACACATTCCGTACAGGGAACACAAGAGTTTGACTGGCACTGCCCGCTATATGTCTATCAATACGCATTTAGGCAAAGGTAGATTTCAACTCACTCGTTTGTCTGATTTCTGTGTTTTACAATTATGTTCATTATCGATGAACGTTTGATTGAAATTTCTCATTTGGTTATTAATTCTTTTTATTATTATTATTAATAAAATCTCTTAATACAGAGCAAAGCCGGCGAGATGACCTGGAGGCCTTAGGTCACATGTTCATGTATTTCCTCCGTGGGAGTCTACCGTGGCAAGGATTAAAGGCATGTCAGGTTTCCAAATATCTGTTAATCAGGCACTTTTTCAAGGAATCTAGTAATTCTACTGCAGTCACCAGCTTTTGAGTCATCTGGTGATTTTGGCTCTTGATTGTAATTGTATTGTTTGTGAAAAATTTAATGGACAAGTTAAAAAATTAACAGCTCATTAAATGCTTCAGAATTATTTTTTTAAACCATGGCTATTTTTCATCTATGTTACGACTGATTTATGTGTTTACTGTTTTTTTTTTAATATTCTGAAGGCTGACACTTTGAAAGAGCGATATCAGAAGATCGGAGACACAAAACGAAACACTCCCATTGAAGTCCTCTGTGAGAACTTCCCAGGTACACACCCATAACCACACACACATGCAACCACACACCAGATTGGGATGTCAACTATAATCTGTTCACACCCTTTTATTAAATGCAGAGGAGATGGCCACCTACCTGAGATATGTGAGACGATTGGACTTCTTTGAGAAGCCCGACTATGAATATTTGAGAACTCTGTTCACTGAACTGTTTGAGCGTAAAGGATACACCTTCGACTACACTTACGACTGGGTTGGCAGGCAGATAGTAAGTTCCATTTCGAATCATCGTTTTATTAAATGTCTGTACTTTTCTCTTGCAATTCCTGACTCCATGTCGTTTCCCCTTTCCCATTTCCCTCCTCAGCCGACACCTGTGGGCTCTGTCCACATAGACTCTGGAGCATCCGCTGTCACCAGAGAGAGTCATCCACACAGAGACAGGCCCTCACAGCACCAGCCAATTAGGAATCAGGTAAGCAGTGCGACATCTTTTTAAAGGGCCCTGTGTTTGGAAATACGTATTTAGAAAACACAGTATCCAAAGAATGAGACACTGTTCTGTATAGGAATAAGACACTTCTGTAAAAGAGTAGAGCTCGTCCTGAAGTCATTTGGTTATTTGTGTAGAAACAGTGTCAAAAATATTATCAAGATATTAGTGCTTAGAGGAAGTGAAAATCAAGGACAAGAAGTCAGTTTAGTGTGATTACATATTATGAATTACTAGCTGCAGAGCTTCGTGATGAATAAAACAGATTCCCTTAAGAAACATGTTCATTTTATTTTAATTGGTGAGAAGAAACAGTTATAGTGTCTATCTATTATTGATGGGGAAAGTTCTTAAATATAATGTTGGAATTTAACTGCTAATGATAATTGAGTACACTGTAAACATTCAGAGATGAAAAACCCAGACATTATCTAACTTAGTGTCATACGGGGAGAGGAAAGGGAGGGAGGGGGAGATGAGAAAGAATAGGAAATGCAGCATTAGCCATAGAACTTTTACGTCTCAACTTAAAGCCAGGTTACAGAGAGCAAAAGAATTGTGACCACTTGTCTTTTACTCTATCACATTGGAGCCAATGCTTTAAATAAAATATGGTTTAAACTGAGCTTTTGTTTTCTACATCAGGTGCAATAGTCGGTCACAGTGCTGGGAAGTAAACTGCAGTTTACAGTTAATGGTCATCAAGGACTTTAGACTGAGAGTTGACTGCTGTGTTATTATAGTGGCTTTTAGCATTTAGCTCACCTCCATTTGAAACCAGGCTCATTGGTTTCTCTTTGAGTTCTCTGGCTGAAGCTTTTCTTTGTTTTTTTTTATTCACTCTCATTTTGTTATTTATTTTTTCTTCTTTATTTCCCATGCTGCTTTGCATGCTACCTGCCTTTGCACACCCACATGCCCATCTTTCCTAACACAATTATTCCATCACCTCCATTCCACTTTCATTGCTTCATCATTCACTCGTCCCTTTCATCATCAACGTCCTCTGAGCAGACAGTGGCATCCGACCGACGAGGAGCATGGGAGCTGCAGCCCACACGCCAAGCAAACTCGTCATATTTGACCTCCCACCTGGCAGCGGACAGGCACGGGGGCTCAGTGCAGGTATACATCCCTCACCTGATCAACCAGCAGCCCCTAACCCAGTGTCTGTGGAGTCAGATCTGTCTCACACGTCACAGATTTGGGTTCAAGTAAACCAAACATGTTGATATCTTTTGGTTGATAGGACAAACTCTTGCTCATGCTCTCTCTTCAACCTCTTCCCGAGCATTAATCAGTGTAAATTGCTCCTCCTATTGATCATTTAGAATCATTGACAAATAAATTCCTGTTTTTTTTTTTTTTTGTTTTTTTTTTTTTTTTTTTTTTTACAAATCTTGCTGTTCAACATTGTTTGTGAGACAGATCTACATCCTAACACCCCTCACCTCTTTACCCCTGCCTGGGAAATGATGTTTTTTTTTGCCCCACCATGTGTCTCTGTCATCTGGTGTCATCCACCGCAGATGGTGATTTGATTTTCAGCTTCAATTATTGCAGCTCTAACAGGAGAAATCTGATTGGCAGGTTGAGTAGCTTTTTGTTTTGCATGGCGGGGTGACCTGGTTTCGTGCATGTTTTTAGTTCATAAAGGGTCATTGTGCGGGAGGATTCTGCATTTGTGTGTATTCTTCTTCTTCCTTCAGCTGCTTGATGTACATGTTGTTGTCCGAATATTTAGGGGGGAAATGGCAAATGGAATTTATCATCACTATCAATACACACTAGAGATGCAACACCACAGTTGGGCACAATTCAGGATTTTTGGTTTGGTACAGTTCTTACAGTCCAAGTGGTTGAGTTGAACTTTTGTTTGGTGTGAGGAAAAAAATCCAATACACTACTTGCATCAAGGAATTGTACACATTCCTTTTACATTTGATGGCATAAAATAAAATGAACATATACATGTTTTTTAATTAATTCAAAGGAGAAAGTTATACATTTACTCAAACAAAGTGACATTTCTATTTAACAAAACTGTACTTTGCTGAACATTAATGGAACATTTTCATATAACAATCGAAATCGTTTTAGTGATACGCATATTTGATTTGGCTAAGAGTTTTACACCGGATGCCCTTCCTGACGCAACCCTCACCATTTTTCTGGGCAAAGATGTCAACTTTATCAGCGTTCAAGTCGCCTGTCACAGCACACATGACCCAGGCTCTACAATAGGACAGATTAGTGACAATACTTTTAATGTTCTGAAGAGTTTGAAATTGTTGTTCTTGACCTTCCTTGACCCTGGTGGACAGTCCATATTTTGTCACTGTCTGTTTGAAAACATTTATTTAATCTTGTGGTTTAGCATTATCATTTGTTATTGTGTATTTTAAATGTTTTCTGTTTTTTTTAATAGTGTTTAAATGTTGACTAAATTTTCCTGGTTTCAAAATCTCTCTTTACGTCGAGCTGTTGTGGATCAACATTTTTTCCTTAGTTTTCAGATTAAGAGATATCGTCATTGATTTACATGAAGAAGTAACCTTCACTCACTCTTTTCCAGGGACCTTTTGTTTTATTACAGCTGTACCTGGTTTTCCACCCACACAAACTATCTGACAATAAACATTTTAGTAAGTTGATCCAAAGATCAGAGGGTCGACATGAAGTAACACCTGTCTGTGCCACAGGTGGTTAGTTCAACCAACGGGGAGCTGAACGCTGATGATCCTCTGGCAGTCCATTCCAACGCTCCAATTACAGCTCAGGCAGAGGGGGAAGTGGTCGATGAGGCCAAGTATGTGTCATACACACTCCACACCTCCTCCATGTCCATCTGTCGCTTACCCTCTTTCCCGCTCTCCCTCTCCCTCCATGTCTGTCTCCCTCTCTCTCTCTCCCTCTCTCTCCCTCTCTCTCTCACTCTCTCTTCCTCCGTCTTTCCTAACTACTTTTTCCAAAAATGTGGAACTGTTACATCCTTGCTCCTGCCACTTTAATATTTTTAATTGGCCCACTTTCTGAACAATGCAGTTTTGAACCAGTTTACTTTCAAGAGTGGTTCAGGTGTTAGACCCAAACGATGTTGCTCATGTGTACATCCACATCTAATATAGAACCACATACTTGAGTTGACTTGATGGTCATGGATGTGCAATCTGGGCCTCTATTCTATTCTTATTGAAAATGTATGTTTCTGACGTCATCTGACTTCAATACATACACATAGACACAGATATGTCTATCTATTCAATATAGAGTACAAAGATGGGAAAAAGCCAGGTCTGATATCAAATGGTCACAAGAAGTCCCATCACCATCAAATACCAAACTCTGTTCGTAGCATTGGCTTTCTCTGTCACATCTCAACTCTACAGGCACCAACTAAAGAGTGTTTGGTGCTTATATTCTGAACCAGTGGCTGGAATGATGCCACACTGCATGGAAGGCTACCCACTGTGCAAGAGCTTAGTTGACAGTTTAATAGCCTTGGGTTTAATAGACTATAAGGTGATGCTATGAGACCATCTGCAGTAGCAGATTTGTTTTTAGCTAATTTTGTATTCATTTTTACCTCAAATCATTGATTGCTCCAGTAACACAGATCTAATTTAATATTTTTTTTAAGACAAGCTTTTTTACTGATAGTAGCTTTAGTTTGAATTACAATGTATTTGTTTCATTTACACACAAATGTAGCTAAACAATTAGCACATTAGAAAAAAGTCAATATTTCTATATAAACAAATTTTCAGGTCTGTTTTTCTGTTCCAAATTCCACTCTAGTTTTAACAGCCCCACAAAACACACTGAGGTTTTAGTTCAAGGAAATCCATATATAGTATCCAATCCAATATAGTATGTGTTGAACCTGCATTTTGCCATGATCAGTTAGCATAATGTAACTAGAGGTTTCTCATCTTCTTCTATGATGTGAAATGTCAAGTGTCAACTCGCATCACACGGTTGTCATTGCCACCTACTGTTAAGACATGTGAATAGGCGACTTCTGAATCTTTTGCTTTGGCAAAATCCTGTGACTCGCCGAAAACTAGTTTCACGGTTTCCTCCATCAGAGTGAAACTTGAAAATCTTGACTTAACCCATATATTTCAAAAACACACACATTTCTGCAAATGCAGGCCATAGTATAGAACAGAGTGGTTTACAGTTGAAAAACGATCCTGTGCAGCTGCAGAGCAGACGTTCTCCTTGACCACAGAAGTAGCACCTGTGTCTGTGTGTGTGTGTTTGTGTGCTTGTCACTGTGTTCTGTTGTCAGTCTCATCCTCTGGGTCCTACTGTATTAATCTATCTTTCTTTTCTCTTTCCACACCTTCCTCTCCTTCCTTCTGTAGCTGCGTGAAAATGCTCAACCTGTGGTGAGTCCCTCTGCTCGTCCACATCAGACTCATGGGACAGGGAGTGGACCAGCCTAGACTGGGCAGAAAAAAACTTGTGTATTTAAATAAATTTCTCACTGACATAGCAGTAGAATATAATTCAGAAAATATTTTTTTACCCTTTTTTTCTTTCTTTTTCTTTTTTTAACTCCAGCATTTTGCTAGTGATTTATCTTGGCAGAAAGAATAAACCAAAGCAGTATAGTTATGTGCCATGATTTTATTCACATTCAACTTCTGCTTTAAGGTTCTTAGATGTAACTCACTAATGTTTAAGGTAAAACAAGACCCAGTCTCTGTCCTATGTCTCATTCTATAGCTGTTCTCTTGTCTCTGTATGTTTTTATCGATCATTCAGACTCATCCTGTTTTGTGCTCTTTGTGTGCACAGCTCCAGTCTTATGTATAGCAGATAAGTACAATGTTTGTAGTCAAACATGGGATCTGGACTTTAGCATCTCTGCAACAATGTGTTTTTGCTTCTGCTTTACCCAGAAATCCTTGTTTCCATTTGATATATCCCATCTTCAAATCCTACAAATGTCCTTCTCTGCCTGCAGGTGCTGCTGTTTCTTTAAGCGAAAAAGGAAGAAGAACACGCAGAGGCACAAATGATGGTCCACCACTGGCCACAAATATTCTGAGTGACCAGCTCAGTTGATTGTGATTTCAGAAATCGATGAAGGTCTCCCAAGAATTAAACCTGGGAGGCTTTGGAAAGAGCTTAATGAAATGTTGCTTTGGACGAACCAGCTCATTGTGGTTTGAAATGTACAAGAGCCTTGTGTCTTTGATGGGAGTCCTATTTTATTTCCTCTCCCCACAAAAGGGAGCTTTTGTTGGATTTTGTTTTGTTTTGGTTTTTGCAGGGGGTTTTGTTTCCCCCCACAAGATGCCGCACATTTGCAATTTGTTTATTTTCTTTGTTTTGGTTTTTTCTGCGTGTGTCTTTAGCATGTGAGGCGATGCAGTGGAAGAGACAGATCTTCCAGTGTGTCAGTACCCGACCTCCTGCAAACTCTTAATGTCTTCATTTAACCCACAAGGATTTGTTTGAATTCCGTCTCTGTCTGATCCTAGTTTAAGGCCATTTGCCTGTTGCCTGTTTGCTCACAACATTTTCTCACACAAAGGCTGAATGTAAACCTGAACCCACAAAGAGCCAAGAGTATAAGAGAAATCATCAGTCTGCTGGTCCCTGCACTTTTTTTCCTCCAAAGAGATGAGCCTGGGAACTGGGACCTGGACCTGAGAGAACAGTAGACCACAGACGTGTGTCCTGCACTGTGTTCTCTTGGGAAGTTTTCTGCTCGCGCTGATTGCTTGAAGCACTCCCCTTAACCACAATGCTGTCAAACACTACAGTCTCCTCTTTGTCTCATGCAGTTCTGCTCCTATCGGCTTTGTGATGATGAGCGGCAGCCTGTCACCTCTACACGTGGCTGAAAAGACATTACTCTATTTATGCTATTTATCTCTGTTGCCACCTGTTTTCTGACTAATTCTAACTCATACGCACTGAATGTATGGATAGAAAAAGAGGCTTTGGAGCTTTCATATAACCTGTTCTGTGCATGGAAAAGAAATAGCAGTTTAGGAGAGAGCAATGTTTAAAAAGAGAACAAGGAAGACCAAAAGATGGGTTCGTTAAGCAGAAGTCTTAATTGCTTATGGTCTTAGAAATGTGATGGTTAACAATAATAATGGACTCACTCACCATTTTACACTGGGGGGGGGGGGATATTTTATTTAAGGGGCAAAAAGAAACAGGCGTCCTGTGCTTTAGAGATTATATCACAGCCTCTCAACGCTGCTGTCTGATGCCTTAACCCTGACCAGTCCACCACCACAGTCACCACCACAACAACCACCATCACACTGTTGAATGCAGAGGTCAGCAAGATGATGGATGTGAGATTTAACGTGCAAATGTTGGGACCTCCTTACATCATCTAAGCCCAACTGTTTGTAGATAGAATCACAGCAGTTGAAGGTGGAGTATGCAGGAATGTTTCTTGTTTGTTAACGCAAAGCATGGAGTTAAACCCCACCTCCCGGGTACGGGGGTGCTGTGAACACAGTTTAAATAACCTTGGCCACCAGTTGATTGTGGTGGTACATCATTTTGTGTTAAATTGAACCTGAATATGACTCGTATAAGAAGTTCACATGAGACGTGTCTGAGCCAGCCGTCAATCCCATCCTGACAAACTGAGGGGTTATGCACTACTGAGCACCCTCCCATCTGTGGAGCAGTACACCTTTGACTTTAACCCTGCCTTACTTTAATTCACAAAATGCATTTTGAAGTATTTTAAATGCTTTACAAACGTGACCTCTGTAAATCCTAAAGCTGTTGTGTGTGTGGAGAAATGGTTAAATTTAGATATTTATTGGGTCTAACTAACAACAGTCTCCTCAGTCTTAGCTGCTAAATGATACCAATGCCACCTCACATCAACAGCAGCCCTCCATTCTTTAAGTTTAATTACTGCCACCTACTTCTGGCAAAAGGGACAAATTAGAAAATACAGTGGTGCTGATTCAGATAAACGACAGCATACACTCCCAGTGGTCCATAAAATATCGCTGACTTTTGAAAGATTTTGAAAATCAAATTGCTGCGTACTCTACCTTGAACCACTCTGTGTGTAACACTGAAGATGTCTTTTCAGCACACCAGTGCCTGGTGTGGTGTGTAATGTTGTCCTGCCCATATGTCCAGTCTGATGACCCCTGTGCTGCAAATAGATTATCTGACGTTTGCCCCCCGCCTCCAAGTAGGTTGACCTTGTCACCTTGAGGATGGAAAGGAAATGTCCATAGATTTTTTTTTTTTAATTTGTGTTTATTGTTATGGAGGACAGCCTTGAACCATTATCCCCATTTTGTCACCTTGACCTTCCCTCCTAGCAGAGTGAATTACCATATATAGGTGTTTTATTTTTTTATTTTCTTTTTAATCTTACTAATGTGAATTCACTTTTATCTAGAATGCAAGTTTTCTTTGCTATCAATTCCAAATAGCCATGGTTTAAAGGGGAGGAAGGAAGACAACGTAAATAAAGAAGAAAAAGAAAGCTTGAAACCATGACTGCACTACATAGCTGACCCCAGCTTTCCCTGACCACACCCTGCCTTCTTAATACTCTACTAAAAATGTGCTCTTTACTTTAATCATGGCTGCTGCCTCCTTAGCTAAGCCTTCCCTATAGGGTGTGGGGAATACACTTTAGATCCATCTTTATTTCTGACCGTTTTGTTTTTCTTCTTTTTGTGCCATAATTCCATGTGACCACTCTATATTTGTCCAAACCAGTCCTGGACAAATCCCCTCTCAGTTAACACTTCATCATCTTTGAGAAGTACAGTGATATAGATGTTGCAAACAGTCTGGATGAATCAGCGTGTAAACCTACTTGTTGTGTGTATTTACACTGTATAGCTTTATGTTCTTTGTTTTTGTTTTTTACCCCCCTGTTATGTTAGTTTTTCCCGGGTCTAAGTTATTGTGTCATTGAAAGTACTTGAATATGAAATCTACGGGACCGTTTTTTGTTTGTTTTTTCATTTTTGCTTTTTTTTCCCCTACTTGGTCATAATTGTTTCAACTCATTATATAGGATATGTGGGAAAATGAGGAAACAGGCTTTATGAATGACAGGTATTCAATTGTTTGAGACGTTCAGGTGCCTCTTGGATTTGTCAGTCACCTGTGCTAGCTGGTTTAGCTGACCTGATAAGAGCTTTACCCAGTAGACTTGGGGTGAGATGTTGGTTTCCACAGGTTTAAAAAGTCGCTCACTCTTCTCTGTGAAACCTTTATTATTGTTGTATTTGACTGGTGAGGATGAATCTGCTGGTTTCCTCTAACACCAAACCTGTGACATCTGCTGCCCACAGAGCATCAGCAGTGATTTGCTCCAGTGACCTGAGTCATGGATGAAAGTATTCCTGTGTAGTGGGATGGATACCATGACTATACAGCCTGCAGTGTTTCCCCCTTTTGAATTTTCCCAGAGTGCCATTCCTGAGACTACTACTACTTCTAAACCATGCCTTTTACCTGTGCCAGAAAAACATGAAGTTGAATGTTTTCTCCCTCCCACCCCCTTTCTCTTTTTTTTTCTTTGGACCGTCACATTCCACCATGTGTCTATGTCCAATTTTGTTTTGAAAATCAGTACCAGGAAGTGTTGAAGACAGTCGTCTTTTCCTGTTTTAGCAGACGTCACAACAGTTACTTTATGTGACTGTTCATCTTTGCAACATCCACATCTTCTTAAACCTGTGGGTGGCCTCAGTCCTCAGCAGCTGAGACGGTTAATAAACCACATTACTGATGGTTTTACTTTTTCTTTTTTCTCTGGGCCTCAAACAATGCATTTCTAGGAGAACTTTGTGTGATCTGTGTCTGCATGGCTTCATCTGGAGGCTTCAGTGAACTTTCCTCTCCCGTAGGACTTGTGTACCATTGGCTTAGTGAGTTGTCATGGCTACTGGGCTTCATGTAAAATAGATAGTGTTTTCTCACAGCACGTCCCATCTTAGTTTACCATCGATTCACAAACACGATGTCCACCCTTCAGGCAGACGTGTGTCCTGGCTTGGGTTTTTTTTTTTTAAATCAATCCTGCGTCTGGACGCTGTGTAAATCAGAGCAGGTGACCGTTCCAGTGTGAATGAATGGCTTTAGGTCTTTTCGGTTCTCTGGCACTTTTTTCCTTCTTGCTGTACTGTACTAGTCCTGGATTTACTGTATATTTTTCTTTCATGGAGGGGTTTAAGGTGACAGTAACTGCAATATTGTGATGATTGTTTTTGAAATTGTACACAGTTGTAATCTTCTTTTTCATTTGGGGATTCATAAAGTATGTGTTCTTTGATTATATTTTTTCCTCCTTTAACTGTGGAAAACCAGATTGTACAGCTGCAAGATTTATCCTCCCCCAGTATCTTTTCTTTCAGAGCTATGATTAAGTAAAATCTTAAACCTGTAAATAAATATTATGTGTTGAAATATGAATGTCACTTCAGAACTGTATTCAAATGATTTTGTCAATGGCTTTGAGAAGATGAGCCACATTTCTTCTTTTTAATGGTTTCATATTTTTAATTTGCAGAAAGGTAAAGGTCCTTTTTAACTGAAATGCTTGTTTTTTTTTTCTCCCCTCCTCCAATTCGTATAAAAACAATGTGTCTCACATGAACCTTATACCAATCACTTTTTATTCCCTCCACTCCTAAAGGGAAACTCCAGTTTGCACCCTTTTTTATGTAAAATAAAAGCTCTCTCCACCTTGTGGGAAAGTCTGGTGTGAACTGATTTCTACCTGTTCCTTCTCATGTTTGATTGACTTCAGCCATTTATTGATCCAAACCATGGGGAGTGTTCCCTTAGCCCTCCTAAAACTCAAGGCCACTACTGATCTCTAACAGGAATAGTTTCTTTTTCAGAAAACAAAATCTTGGCTTCTTTGAGCTTTAAGGATCTGACCATCGTTATAGAAACAGCCTGGGGAATACATTCCGGAGTCTACCGGGGTCATTTCAACGCAGGTGTTTAGAAGTAGGCAGTCTGACTGAGGTAAGTTGAAATCACCTAAAACTAAACCTGTTACAGTATAAGTGGTCAGTCCACACATAAACTGGAAAAAATTAATGTGCAAAATAATCTGCAAAGTTGTCAAAACATGTTTCTGTAAACAGGAATTTTGAGGATTCTTTTAACATTTTAATTTTTTTTCAGGTTGTCTGGGACTTTTAAAAATTGTTTTTAGAACTTCCTGCCTGCAGCAAACATTTCCTTCTTCAAATCAAATGAGGAACCTGGAGACCATGTGTTGATCCACTCACCAGCTGTCCTGCAAGTTAATCATCTCCGTTGTGAGGTATCTTGTTCATCCAGAAAAATCATTTTTAATGGAAACGGTGTCACTTGATTCCAGAAAAAAGTAAATGTATAGTTCATGTAAACATAAAAAAGAAAAATAAACATGAATTCACAAAACTACACCAGAATTATCTTTAAGTTTACTACTAACTTTTTTAGTAGAATGTTATAAACTTTAGAGATTTGAGATTAATGTAACTTAATTGACATGGTCTTTGTATATGGAGTTTCCGTGGCAGGTCTGGAGACAAACAGCAGTCTGTTGCCTGGTGTTAGCTTTGCAGTATAGTTCATTATAGGTCATTCAATATGTATGCTATAAAAAGGATTACTGGATTATTCTTGTTTCAGTTCTGCATATTAATCATATTTCTTTGTTCTAGCACAAGACAAGAGTGGTAAGTATCTGCCTTTTATTTGTGAAAGACACATGGATGTAAATTAGATGGTAAAACTTCAAAGGCTTCAAAGTGTGACATCATAACATAACTACTATTCATGGTTAAACCATGTTCACATCAGTAAACATCTCATTTCCATGTGTTTCTATCAAACCCATGCTGAGAATAGCTGTTGCCTGTTGCAGCTTTGTGTCTTCTGCTTCTTGAAACCACTCGCACACAGACATGGCTTTCTCCTCTCACCACCGACGTCCCAGTGGAATCTATATCTTCTCCAGTTTCCCCAGGTCAGTGGAGGCTCCAAACAATACACTGAACCACTATGGAGACTTCAGCTATGACCCCCATCAGTCAACAGTATACACGCTGAGCTCAACTCTACAGAACATCGCAGATGAAGAGCAGAAACAGGAGGAGATCAAAAGGAGGAGGAGCATTGCCAGAAAACGTGCTCTGGTACAGCTCAGACCCAAGCCTGTGCCCACCAGAATAGACAGCAACGTACAAACGCACCCTTATTTTGAAAAATGGGACAACATCGCAGTGGCTGAAGGCACCGGCTGCCAAACTGACACTCTGCCTTTTGTGCCGCCGATAGTCATACCTCCTAAAACTGGCAGAGATGCTGCCACCCAGCTGGAGGAGAGAGACCTGATTGTGTTTGACAGAGATGTGAGACCAGTGGTGGAGATCCTGGTGGGGAAGACCATAGAGCAGTCTCTCCTGGAGGTGATGGAGGAGGAGGAGCTGGCTTTTGTGAGGGCGCAGCAGAAGGCGTTACAGGAGATCCTGAACGAGGAGCGGGCTCAGGTGCATCGGCTCCAGGAGCAGGAGAGACGCCACCGAGAGGCGAAGGAGAGCAAGATGGCACAGCAATGGAAGGTGCTAATGAAGGAGAAAGAGACCGCGGAGAAGATTGCCGCCTGGGCCTACACCCAACGGTATCTGGCTGACCTGAAACCTACTGTCATCACCACGCTGAAGAATGATGGTTTCCTCTATGACCCTGTGGAGAGGGATCTTGAGACCAACTTCATGCCAGGCCTGTTGTCTGAGATCTACGTGGTTATGGAGGGTAGACAGGCAGCAAGAGAGGTGCTGGACACTGTGATGTACCAGGTGTCCCACATCAGGTTGAAAGTATTACGTGCAGCACAGAGAGCTGGTAGATATTGGTAAGAAGATGACAGATGGAGGTAGGCAAGGTATTAACATTTCACTATATGACACAGACATCACTGATGTCTTCTTGATGGATGAAGTCTTTGGAAAATGTCGACAAGAGCAGTGCTTCTTAAATGATGGATGTTGACCCAAAAATGGTTCTCCTGACCCAGTCTGGCGCTATAAAGGATTCTATATTGTTTATATATTTTTTCAGTCCCTGCTGTCAATTTGTTAGGACTCTACCAGGTTGAACAACATTACTACCCCATTACAGTACTACCACATTGGCTTGAGGTTTGGACAATTATTTATTCGGTTGGTACACATACGGTATACGGCAGTTCATAAGAAGTTGAACAGGTGTCATTGATGAAATAGATGGAAAGCCGATGTGTGATGTGTTCACACTTGGAGCGTGTGTAACCAAAATGAAATCCATTTCAGGCCAAGACTTCATTGTTTGAGGGAACTGCAAACTCGTTTAATTTCACTTTGTTAATAAAGTTAATTACACTGTGCTCTTATTCTGCTCCTTTTTGTTCTCCTGCAACATTTTTACTCATCTTTGTCATGATGACTGGATTGTTATTGTTCTGTGTCAGCCGTTTTAAAAAATATATATTTGTATTCATATTATGGTATATTTTCTTCAAAGAAGAAATGTTTTAAGTTTGTTATATATCTAGGATATTTGTATTATATAATTATAGTTATTACAATATAAAAATTATTTGTGATAAATGTAACATTTGAAAATACTTTATCACCTTAGAAACAGGTGTAGTTTTTCAGAAATTCTAAATTCTTCCATTGTTTCACTTGGTTGTACACATAATACGCTACTTATTGTTCTTAAAATGATTTAATTATAAATCTCGGCGTAACCTTTTTAGGGTCTCTTCTGCAAATCCAGGTTAGACCTCCAGTCGCTAGTTGGCAGAATAACCTCGGTATCAACACGCAGTATGATTGACCAGCGTGTTGGTTCTAAACTTCCGCTATGACGCAGTACTTCCTCTCTTCAGCAAGTCCCAGCCAAGATGGTGTGTACTGGGGGAAATGTTTCATTTCAGTGCTTGTCATAATCCTTGTTAATCCTTTCTGTTAGTCCGCATACAAGCAAACGTCTGCACATTGACCCTTCGAACTTCTCTATAGGCTACAATTCCACAGAGTTTAATGTTGTTACGAGCAGAAGTGTCGGAAATAACGCAATTGTTTGGGTTGGGTAACTACAAAAACACCGCTACAAGGGGCGGATATTCCCGCCTACAGTTTGGTTAACGTTTTTTGTTATTTTATGTTCGACTCCCGATGAAATAGCTGGAACATATGTCTTTCCCCTAAGTTATCGTTTTAAACAAAGCGTCACGCATTCATTGTATTTTGTCGCCGGACGTTTGAGTCATTCACTATGATTCTGTAAACAGGTTTCCCATTACTTCATAGATTTCAAATGACCCGCAGAAACTTCCCTTAAGTTACCTTCAAATACAACTGCCACCTCCATGAAAAGTATTAAAGTACTAAAAAAATAATCTCAAAACAAATTACATAATCATTTTAACATCGGCTTGTCATACGGTTTACCATAATAACCAAGTAACACATCAAGTGAAAAGGGCTATTGGTTGGCATGTATTTATCATTTTATTGTTTCATTTTTTAATTTTTGTAATGAAGAGGCATACTGACTAAATGATTAAATCTGAGCCTTTGGTAAATATAAAACTTTTTTGTTTTTGTTACGTCTTTTCAACCGTCACAGTGATTGTGTTTTTAAATTTACTTCTGTTGAAGTTTATTCAATATTCTACACTGCTTTAATGAGCTTTTTTGTTTTGGCTTCAGGGTCGAGTCAGAACCAAGACAGTCAAGAAGGCAGCCCGGGTCATTATTGAGAAATACTACACACGCCTGGGCAATGACTTCCACACCAACAAGAGGGTGTGTGAGGATATTGCCATCATTCCCAGCAAACCTCTGCGCAACAAGGTTGCAGGGTATGTGGACAACATGTGTAAACCCCTCACAAGTATTTTCTTTTTTCTTTTTATACACTTGTTTTATTCAGTTTTATCAGTTAGCTACTTGTGTTTAAATTGTCAAACTAGTAGTACTACTTTGAACCATTGCTCTGGTTAAAAATCTGGGAGAGTCCAGACGTTATGCTTACTGTTTTTACCCACTAATTACAGATATCTTTAAAATTCCAACTGTGCTGATGCATAAATGGTATTGTGTCTAGAAATATTCCCGTAACTCATTTTTGATTTTTTTTTTTTAAATCCAAATCTTTAAACCAAAGTCATTGTACAGTTATTGTTACAAACTACTTTGATTTCTCTTTCTAACCATGTTTTCTTATATTGGTGTGTCAGGTATGTCACACACTTGATGAAGCGAATCCAACGTGGTCCAGTCAGAGGAATCTCCATCAAGCTACAAGAGGAGGAGAGAGAGAGGAGGGACAACTACGTTCCAGAGGTTTGTTCATGTCCATTTTTCTCTCTTATTTGCTGAGTCATTTCCTTTAGTGGAGGAACTCACACTTCATTTCAGAAGAAGATTTTTTTTAAACATTTAACTACACATCATTACTCTGTCTATTACTAAAATCTGGATAATAGGATAATTGTTCTAAATAGTGTCCACCAGCGGGCTCTAACTAAGGCACTACGTTAAGGACGTTATGGTATAACTCTCTTTGACATACAGTATGTGGGTAAAACAAATAGATGTTTTGAAAAGAAAACGTATGTGGTCAGTGGTCTAATTTTTGTTTTTCGGTGAATCTGCAGATTTCTGCTTTGGACCAGGAACTCATCGAGGTGGATCCAGACACTAAAGAAATGCTCAAAATACTGGTGAGTGAACATTCTTTCTGTGGCTGTAGGAGTGTTTTTTCTAAAATGTTCTAATAGTATCAAAATAGGACATTAAACATATTTAAAATATTTGTTGGAAATTCTAAACACCATTTTATTTATTTGCACTTTTAGTCTAAAGTCCAGGAAATTAATCAGAATTGGTTGAATTTTTTTTAACAATATTTGCATAAATATGAATTTCATTTCTTCTGTAGGATTTTGGTGGCCTTTCAAAACTGCAAGTTACTCAACCAACAGTTGGAATGAACTTTAAAACTCCTCGTGGAGTTTGATGTGAAAAATGTCTAATAAAGAAAACCAGTAATGAAGACATTGCTTCTGGTCAATTTGGTTTTGGTTTTTCAAAAAAAAAAATTTTTTTCCACTTTTAAAAATTAGTGCAATTTGCCCTGACTGGGATTTGATCCCTGGTCACCTTGTCCAGGAGGTGAACTCTAGATTTCAGAACCATTGGCAGAGGTTTTGCCCCTGAGCTATATTGCCATGGAGTATGGAATACTAGAAAGTCTTACTGGTTGGTGAAACTACTCCATGTCTTCACAAGAAAACATCTGACTCTGTCATCACCACAACAAAAAACATCTGAGTGTCTTGTCTTGGAAGGCTAGGATTTAAACCCTTTCCTCCTGCACCTTTGTCAGGAGTTATGCCATGGGCTATACTAAACCAGATTTATATCCCTGCATCCTTTTTGTATTAACACAAAAAAGCCCCTCAACACCTGCTGTTGAGACAGTAGCTAAGTGAATTGTACTGTCAGTACATTTTAAATTATCTACATTTTACTTATTTTTAGACAAATCTTACTTATACCTAAGTACATTTTCATCTGAGTAATGTCTGTGTAGGTTCTCAGTCATCCAGGTAATTTTATCCAAAAATAGTTACAGCGAGGGGAATTGGACAGAGTAGGTTCTGACTGACTACTGAGAAGTTCAGAACTTCCTAGTAGTCAGTCAGAACTGAAGAAGCCTCTTGGATGAGAGGTGAAATATGTTTTTTTTTTTTTTTTAAAAAAACTTACTCCATCCATTTGCCCTCGATGTAACTATTTTTGAACATCTGAGCAATAGTACTTGCTGGAGTAGAACATTTTAGTACTTTCCACCTCTAGATGCTGCAGTGTTACAATGCTGTTAAAAGCAGCATGGTCAATGAACAGTAAATAAATTCAAATTACACTTTTACTGTGCACTACTTTTTTTTTTAAAGGTTATTGAACAAGATATTATAAACCTGTGTTATTTTATTTCCTGAGCTAAGAAACCAGAAAACCTAGGGAAAGGATTGTTGTGCAGAAGACAACAGATGTTCAAGGTATTTAAACAGGTTAAAGGTTAAGAAAAACCAAGTAAGAAATATTTAAGAAACTCTAAGGAAAATATAATTTATCTGAACATCCCTGAATAACTGCCAAGACACAGGCCAACAACTTAGTCCAGGTTAACCGTGATGTCAGAGGACTTTACAGGTCTCTTCCAACAACTATCTACAAGGCCAAAACCAGACTGAGGTTAAAGACACTATATATATATATATAGATATATATATATAGATAGATATATATAGATAGATAGATATATATATATATAGATAGATATATATAGATAGATATATATAGATAGATATATATAGATAGATATATATATATAGATAGATATATATAGATAGATATATATAGATAGATATATATATATATATAGATAGATATATATATATATAGATAGATATATATATATAGATAGATATATATAGATAGATATATATATATATAGATATATATATATAGATAGATATATATAGATAGATATATATAGATAGATATATATATATAGATAGATATATATAGATAGATATATATAGATAGATATATATAGATAGATATATATATATAGATAGATATATATAGATAGATAGATATATATATATATAGATATATATATATAGATAGATATATATAGATAGATATATATAGATAGATAGATATATATATATATAGATAGATATATATAGATAGATATATATATATAGTAAGATATATATATATATATATATATACATACACACACACACACACACACACAAACCCACACACGCAATAGGTATCACCAGACATTCAGGAACAAGATGTTGCTTGTGTTTAAGGAAGGGGTGTGAAAGCCATACTGAATTCAAATGTGAAACAAAGTGAGCTTTTGGTGTTTCAACAGAATTGTACAAGTTTAAGGTGACAGGTCTCACCTGAATTTGGATACATTACTAGCTAGCCACGATTTCTCTGTTGACATGTTAAGTAAAGATTACAGATGAAAAACAGGACTTAAGGAAACTTGCATTGAACTGTTGAACCACTCCTTAACCACTGCAGCCTCATTTGGAAAAACAAGGGAAACAATTGCTACAATTAATTTTTTTACCTTGCCTTTTGTAACATTTTAGTTGTAAAAGATGACCCTTTCCAAACCCTTAAACCAAATGGTTAAAAAAAAAAAAATTTCAATCAGTTGCATGGATTAAAATGAAGCACAGACAAGTGCAGTAATGCTTAAACACCTTTATTGTGCCCAACCTGAACATACTCCACAACTGCAAGTAGCAACAAACTTGGCAGACCACAATGAGGTAGACTTTCAAAACTCTAAAAAGCAGCTGGGCTAAGAGACAACAAGCTCAGCATCACAAACCTAATGGATAAAGAAAAGACAATTTGTCTTTGGCACACAGCTTATTATGCATCAATGTCCAACTGGAACAGGAAGGCAAAAATGGGATTAAGAAAGCATGGAGTCAAATACTGAGGTCTACTCAAGCTCTGACAGATTATTTATCATCAGCTAAGTGGAAGTTCTTACATTCAACAGGAGACGCAAGCATGTGCGTCCCCTGCTGATGCACAAAAGTGATTAAAAACCACTGCCACCTCTCCACACGTGCAAATTAAAAAGTGCAGTAATCAAACTATGTACAGTCAAATGCTCATTCACTGAAGTCTCAACAGGATCCATTCAAGATGCTTCAAGAAACCGCAGGTTATCATTTAATGCAGATGAAGTACGAATGCTACATATATTTAATAGGACTGGTCCAATAATGCAAGGTAACGTTGTTCTTTCAACACTTTTGTGCCCATTAGTCAAAATTTGGGAGAGTGGATTTAAAAAGAAAAAAAAAAAAAATCAGATTCTATGAAAAAAAAAAACTAAATAAAAAGAGGGGGTTTCCCATAAACAGCCACCGGGTAGAATTCTGTTCAAAAATTTTCATGTCATGACTTAAAACCGTTTGTGTACAAATTAGTAAAAAACTGCGTAAAAATGTCTGAAATGCGACTGGTTAAATGAAGCCCAACATTCAACTCTCAAAAGTAAGAAACGCCAGTTGGTTTGCACAGGGAAAAAACAGATGCCAACTGGGGGTTGAGGGAAAGGACGGGGAAAAATAAAAATTTAAAGGCACTGTATGGCATTTGCCAATGAATGGCAATGAGACTTGCGTGATTGCTCTTCACTATGCAACACGTAAAAAAAAAAAAGAAAAGAAAGAAATGGCACTTTCTAGCACTTCTTAACCCACGGCTGACTCCTATCTCAGTCTGGCCACAAGTTTGGGAAAATGCATTGGTGTGAAGGGCCCTTCGTCTCTAAGAGGATCACACTGTGCATAGTGCCACTGTGAACAACAGCAAAAATGGAGCAAGTGCAAAAGTGAACATTTTCTACAGTGAAATCCCCAGTGCCTGGTGGAGTGCCATGGTGCCCCCCAAATAGAGGGGGACGTCTGGCACTCGTGCTCTCCTTGGCGGGCAGCCTCGGCCCCCTGAAAGAGGGACGCTCGTCCTCTGGTCCTTCAGAGTAACTGGATCCATCTGCTCTAGCTGGAGTCTCTGTTCTTCTGGTTGCGCATGAGGGGCCGGTGGTTGCTCAGAATGTCCATGGAGTGTTGCCAGTGCCAGCAGGAGCGGCAGTAATACTTGAAGCAGGCCTGGGCAGGGATAGCAAGATGGACAGTGTCTGATGAAATGGTGGGTTTCCTTCAAAAACTCATTTTAATCATGTCAGAAGACACTCGTGTTCATGTATTAAAGAACTTCACTAAATTACTGTGGTCTCATTTCAGAATCTAAATCTGTGTTTGCTGTTGTTTGGATTAACAACAGATGTGACAAGGGCACGTGGACACCGACCACTCAATGCACCACCTGCTGGTAAGTATGAGAATTTATTCATATCCTATAGGCCAGACTGTGCAAATTAAAGCTGTTCACATGTTGGTCATTAACATTGTTTTTGAAACAAACAAACAAAAAAGTCTTTAATGATTACATTTGCCAATGAACATCCTGGGGAGTTTGATCTATTTTAAGTTCCAAGAATTCAACAGTCTTCCTTTTATAAATAAGTTAAAAACCAACAGATGATGCTAATCATATTTTGCTATGTTTAAAGGCAGACTTAAAGCATATACAATACTAATGTCACACCTAAAAGTGAGGTAGTTAGTGTGTATCTCTGTAGCTAACAGTAACAGTTGCTTTGTTCGTTATATTTAAAAAAAAAACTGGTGGGGGGAAAAAAAACCAAAAAAACATCCAAAAATATTTTGTCCTTACCTGCTCTCTGCAGAAGAAAGGCCCAGGTTGGCGAAGGCAAACTTGACACATGGAGTCTTCCAAGTAGGGGTCAATCTGGACCTGAGACAGACAGAGACAGTGGTGACAACACAGCAGTAACAGGTGGGTTTCTAATAGGGAAGGCTCAAACACTAATTTTCCACTTAAACATTTAGTAAACACCGCCCCACCCTACAAGAAAAAGCCAACAACTTTAAACCAGGAAACACTTCTTACCTTCTTTGTAAACTTAGGAGTTTTAATCTCCACAAATGCAGCACACACAGCTTTCAGATAACTGCGCTGATTGTTAAAAGTGACACGTCCAGAGCCTGTACGACAAAAGTTGAGATTAATGACACTGGTGAATTATGGGTCACTGGGTTTGCAGTTAAATATAACCAATAAAACTAGCTGTATATGCTATTTTGACCTACTTTATAGCCTAGGGGTAACTATAGTTGTTGCTCACACAAACCTAGTCATATTTTACACATACATTCAATACTGAATAAAATAATTCACACTCGGGGTCTCTGACCTATGGGGTACTTGTGCTTGTCCGTGTCAATGCCAGCGTACATGACTCCTCCAAACAGGTCATTCATGATGTTGGCCAGTGCCTCAGCATTTAACATTCCATGCAGTGCACCGACAAACACCGTCTTACTGGGATCCAGACGCTGGGCAGGACAGCGCACATAGTTACTGTCAGAGATGACCCAAGGGATGACCTGCACCTGGAGCAGCAGCAGGAAACCAAACAAGTGTTATTTACCAAACAGTTTTCCTTCAGTTTCACAACATTGAATTACACATTTACTTTTGAAACACTATTCAAAGGGTTTCAGACAAATGTAGGCAATACAAACATGAATACATAAAAATGAAACTAAACAGGCAATGTTGTTTTCTTTCTCTCTCTCTTTTTTTTTTTTTTTTTTTTTTTTTTTTTTAAAGGTCAAGTACTACTTATTCATTGAACAGAACAACAGACCACTGAAAACCAGGTACTGGGATAAACCGACCTTAATATAAATCTATTTTAAAGGTCTTGAATTTTAGTTTAATAAAGCAAAAAAGTAAACCATGGAGTTTTGTGGAGGTTAGACTTAATTACTTAAGAGATTTAGTGTATAACAAAAATGTCACTAAGGTTTAAATTGCTTGTGCGTTCGCTTTTCTACTCACATCTTTGCATCTCATTCTGCGGCTGGACATTTTGAAGTAATACTCTCTATTGTCCTCAGGGTGAAATGGATCTTGGGAGCAGGCATGGAGCAAGGCTCGGACAGACTTCTCATTGTCAAAAATCAGGTAAACATAGCCTACGAACCATAGACAGGGTGGAGAGAAGAGTCAGACCAATGACATTGTCTATTCTTTCCATCCATTCTTTTGAATACAGCATTTTACAGTGATGCTGTAAAATGCTGTCAACACCAATTTGAATGTACTTTCCTGAAATTGTGATATGCCTTGTTGAAAACATCTGTGAGAAACTAAGATAAAACACCAAAGCTACACCATATGCAACACCAACATTTCACAAGTGGCAAGTGTTCACCTCAATTTATTACCAGCTAAAATAATTTTATAAATAAATTTAACTTTTGTCCAATGTCATTACTGAACAATTACACACAGGAACAATCTTAAGTTCATGTTCCTCTCCTACTAAACTTCACCATTTATTGTTCTACTCTTCCTCCCTAGAACTGAACTGTGAATTGAGGTCACTACAAGAATAGAGACATGGGATTAATGACACAAGCAGGAAGTACACAAGGTTGTACTTGGGTTGTATTTATTGTCTCAGTCTGAGGAGACCAGGCAGAATCTTGGAACAAAGACCGACGGCAGCTGTGATTTATCTGATTTACCCCAGACAAATAAACACTATTCCTAAGTCTGTGGTGCCTTATAACACCTGGAGCTTCCAAGTGTACTCCAATTCATTTATATTTCTGCTTCTTACTTTATCTACATCTAATACAAATACTGACCACTCTTCTAAATTAAAAAAAAACAAGTTTCGCCCTAAACACTTGTGACTGATGACATTACTGAGCAGACTCTAAGAAAAGATCACATCTTTGAGAGCAAATTAGAACGTAGGAGGAACTTCTTTCTTTCATCTAGTGGGAATTATTTAGGTGGTTATAATTCAGGCAAATTTAAATCTCCATATCAGATGATGTTCCATTTTAAACTCATTGGGCTGGAGTCATGAGGCTGACCTGAATGTCTGCAGTCATTAGTTCAAATGTCACTTAGAGGTTTGAGAACAAGATGGAAATGAAGAGCAAAAACGTTCCACAAGTGACTCAAGACTATGACGCAACAGTTTTGTTCAGACCAAGATGAGAAAACCTGCCGGACGACAGGAGCAGAGGCCACAACCAGAACCACTGACTTTCACGCAACATTAACTAATCAATATTAAAGAAACCATGAAAACCTCAACAATAAGAATTGACAGTCAAAAAAGCTGACCATGGAAAGTGCAATTAACAGCTGTTCTAGTGCATGGAGAGATGTATATATTACCAAGAAACAAAGGTTGTTACTTCCAAACTAACAGACTAGCTTCATCTTGTGCATGAGCTTCTTCCTGTTCTCAACACAGACCCACTCACAAACCCAAAATGAATGGCTCTAAAACCAGATTAAATGTATATATACACACACACACCAGCCAGCAGATCAGTGCATCTCTACTTAAAAATCAACAATAAAACTCACCATCATGCCACGTGTTCACCACAGTGCCACCTTGAAAACCAGGAATGAAATAAAGTAGCCTACCAACTTGTCATTACCTTTGGCCACGTTACCTTTAGGAGGGCATCGAGGGTGTTTCCCATCCTTACCAGGCCACTCCACATTCAGAGGACCATACCCACTGAAGGTGTTGATCAGCCCCGCTGAAACACAGTTGAGAGACATTGTTGTGAATTTAATTTGCTTGTCATTACTAAATGCATTTTAATTAACTTCATTTATGTGCTCCATCCTTTTCCTTTGGATATACAAACTCCATTTGTGATGTAGTCCTAATATTAGTACTTAAAAAAACTACAGACTAATTTCTCCAAGGATTTCCATTCATACAGAGTGACTTGCGAAGAGAACTGTTTTCTTTTGGGCCTTCAATGATGCCCACAGCCAGCAGAGGTAAACCATCAATAAGCCCAACTTAATATTCACACTATGAAATACCTGAAACTTTTTTTTTTATTATTATTATTAAGCAGAACAAACCTTCTGTGATGTCCCAGGGTACACCGCCCAGGAAGACCTTGCAGGAATACAGGTGATCCTTGTTAATTCTTGGAGGCAGCTGACCGCTCCAGGTGAATGTGGCCTCATTCACAGCTAACAAGTAGAGAAGATAAGGTCAACACTTCACCAACCAAGTCTGAATGTTAGGTAAATTAATCAATGAGCTGTAAATGGATAAGGAACTAGAATAATACTGAGTCTTTTAAGATTTACCTGCAGCCTGCCGGTGTAGACGAGCCTCCCTCTCAATGCTGAATGTATCATTAGTCTGGTCAAGAACATCGCTTCCAGGCCATGGAGAACCTGATCGCCAGCGGTGGGAGATAGCAGAAGAGGGACTGGCACTGGATGGAGGCATGAGTGGAGAGCTGGAGTCCTGGGGGTCCAGGCGAGAGCTGAGACGCAGCAGATCCTTTTGCATGCCTGATGCCAGGTAAGGCAGAGGAGGAGAAATACGCAATGTTGACTGAAAGAAAAAGACCAGAGAATTGACTGATTAAAGATAGGTTAATATATATATATATATATATTTTTAAATACAGATAGACAAGGTGTATTATGTAAACTCAAATGGCCTTTGTTGAATTTGTTCACTATGAGGCTTCCTGTGATAATAGTTGTGTGGACAGAAATATTTTTTTAAAACTCATGGAAGAACCTCAAGTTTCAAAAATACTGACAAATACATAACAGACTGGAACAGACAAAATTCATTTATGTGGAAGTCTGATTACCAGCATATCACAGAGGTGGTCAGAGCCAGAACTGAAGCCACTGGTCTCTGAGTCTTCAGGACTGCTGGAGCGAGAGTCCAAGAAGGAACTGGAGTCCAGTCTGTTTGCCATGCGAGCCATGCTGGGGAACTTCTCCAGGAGGTCAGCAGTTATGTTCACAGACTCCGGCAGGTAGCCTGGAGGTTTTCCAAGGTAGCTACTGAAGGGGCTGTTCAGTATACCCAACACTGTAGGAACAGGGCAACAGTGTCAAAAGATGATTTCAAAGAGATCTGATCACATTAGGGAGTCAAAGTCCCAAGAAAATTAAATGTTTATGCATTTATAAAAACATCAACACCATTTCTCTCTATATCCATTTATGTATGAATACTTTTGCCTCAGTTTACCTTAGAAATCTTTGTGGAATTCTGGAGATAACTTACTAAACAACGTCACAACCCATTTCTTTTCTTTCTGGACTGTTTTAGTTTTGGAAAAACTACATAATATAAACATAACAGACCTCAATCAAAACCTGTTGGAATAATTTACATTTGCTGGGTTAAACAGTTGATTATTTTATTTATTTATTTAAATCAAACCAAACAATACAGCTCAATTAATTAAAACGCATAACCTAGTGAAAATATGCGACTTCCGTCTTAGGACTTTTGGACTTACCCTGATACAGTACAGTAGATGTCTGTTTGCAAAGCAAACCATGACAAATGGACTGATTGGGTGAACAATGTTATACTGATCGTCCAGCAGGCATAAAGCAGGGAACATTGAATTCTAATTTTTGCTAAACTAAAAAAGAGCTTCTCCATTGGCTGAGCTACAAAAACTGCTGAAAAATAAATAAAAGAAAGACTGCAACTGAGACAACAATTATGTTATTTAGTGACTCTGTACAGATGCTACATTTGTGGAGAAGCTACATTGCTTTTCAATTTAAATTACTTAATGGGATGTGGGTTAAAAAAAAAAAAAAAAACTCATGACCTATGACTTGGTTTCTGGCATTTGTGAAGCAATCATCAACCTGCAAAGAATAGATTTTCATGTTTGCTGCATCACAACAGACCCACTCATTTCTATAAACGTAGGAACAAACCAGAAAGATTAACAATGAAGAGTGAGTTGATCAACCCATCCAGTTGGTCATTAAGGCCACAATATGAAAATGAATTTATTCTTAGTTCAAAGAGACAGAAAATCCATAAAAGACCACTAACATAAAAGCTTTCTGATCTACAGTAAAAACAGACATGACAAATGTGCTATTACTAGCAGTGGTGCTGCTGATGTACTGCACTATTGTCTTTTAACTCAAAATCTTTCAAAACAACAGTAATCTTGATCTCAGAGTCAGTGAAGAACTAACACTGACTTTTAAACCTAAGCAAAGACTTCAGTGTGATAAAAAGAAAATCAGCTGCTTCAGTTAAATCAAGCATCTTCCTCCATGATGACCCTGTGACTCAGTGTGACAGTGTGGCCTGTGATGGTGAACATGAGGCAGTGAGGAGATTATTCAGCTCCAGCCTGCATTTGAAGCTTTGTCCTACTTTGACTCGGGCCCAATTTAGAAATCTCTAAATGAAGTGATGTCAGGTCAGATTGGACATGCAATGATAAAAACCATTGCCTTTTAAAATAGGTCAGGATGAAGGGACACTACTGGGAGACAGATGTTCATCCTACACCTGACAATCCTAATCCTGTCAGTAAGTTGGACATCTTGTGGCTAGGTCAACTTCAGCAAAAGGTTGATGAATGTCAGGATGAGAAAATTTGCTCTACTGTGTATTTTTTGTGATTTTTTTTTTTTTAGGAGAGATGCAGGAGAGCAAAACTGCCACATCATCCTCCAGAATGACGCTACTGCCTGTTCCCACAGTGTGTTGTTACTGACCAACCACAACACAATACAGGACAAGCCAGGGCCGCACAAATCAGGCGACACAATCACACAGATGTTACATTTGCTAGCACCTAAAAATAAGTAGGGTCACAAATAAATATGAAACAACTACTAAACAACTCAGTTTATAGGACGATACGTGATCATGTCAATCCCAAAGCCACTAATGTAAACAGCAGGACTTGTACTTACTGGAGGGAGAGCTTGTCTGAACCTGGGAAGGGGAGCTGTGGGTGTCTGTCTCCTGGTTGCTCCAGGGCCTATCCCAGCCAGACAGACGGAGAGACTGAAGGCCCAGGCCCAGATCACTGACACCGGGTGACCCCCGGGACGAGGAGATCTCCTGGGAACCAGGCATGCTACCACAGTTGGGGAAGAGCATCCTCCGTGTGCCCACTGCAGCCAACTCTGACTCTGAGTCAAAATCCGGTCAGATGTAGTATAAAAAAAGAAGAAAGTATTTAAGAACAAAGTCTGAAAACAGGATGAAATGTTACAGTCTCATATAAGCTAAACAATTAAATAAATGTCCTTCTTTACTCTGTCTCCTCCTACCCTGGCTGACAGGAGCGCTAACCTGCTGCTTCTGTGCCTGGTGCAACTGCCATGCATCTCCGTCCGCATCACTGACCCACCTAGCAGCATGTGACATGGCTGCTGATGCACTCACACACCCCTGCTAATGACATCAGCGCTCCCCCACCTCTCTGCTGCCTAACAACTGTGTAATGAAAAATTCCTCCCAGGGCTTTTGGCTTCTTGATAGAAGTGCTCCTCTCACTGCCAGGCAGAGTTGGTCCCAGTCTGTGGAAAGGCGGCAGCAGCAGCACCACTGTCGCTACTGCTCACACCGAGCCTTGTTTCCAGTATGAGCTGACAGGCAGGGAGGGGAGGAAAGGGGCTGAGCTAGAGCAGCATGGTGGGAGGCAGCATGGGAGCAAATGACTCAGCACACTCAAAAGAAAAATAAAAACTTCAGATTTAAAAATGCTTTTAATAACTAGTTTACTCTTGTTATATCTGTATAGGATGCATCCTGCAGACAGTGCCCGGCACTGACACAAGCAGCTGACTGATCAGATGATGAGGACAGAGATTTGCACCGACAGCTCCTCCCTGCCCTCTCCAGGCCTGGAAAACTTCCAGCAACAGCCCTGATTCAGCAACACCAAGCTGGGGTAGGTGGGGCAGCATCAAGTCTAACTCAAAAATCCCATTCAGTTTAGTGGCACTAAAAAGTTAAATAACTGTTTTGATGCTTATGACAGGCTGACATGGGAACATGGGCGTGCAACTTCTACACTCATTTCACATAAATATGTCAGTCCTTGGTGCTTTAAGAAAATTAACTATTCAGACAAAGATGCAGACACAGCTGAGCTTGAATCTTGGCAAATCGCACACTTGGATTAAAAAAAAAAAACTTGCTGCAATGCTGCAGAATGAGATGCACCATGAATCAGCTGTTGGCACTCCTGTAATAATGACAAGGTGAAGCAGGTTTATCATATGGCAGAACTGTTTGAGGAACCATCACTGTTGAAAATTTAACACAACTAGAGGTCTACCCACTTCAAATGGCATTGTCGTTCTGTACGTCAGGGGTCTCATTGCTACCTAAATGTATTCATCCATCTATCTGCCTGCCTGTCTATTTACATCCATTTCCACACATCCTGGGATTTTAGGATATGACAACAGTAGAATAGCAACAGCAAATATCATTGAACTGTGCACTAACAATTACAGTAATCGTGAATGACAAAGTATTTTATAGATTTTCACTTTCTGCTTTAGTGGCAACTTTTAGCAAATTCATTTTACTAATTAACTATATAACACTACTTTGTATTGTACTCCACAGCATATTTATTGATACCAAACCTAATGTTTGAGTGACGGCACTAGGCATCAGAGAGTACACAAATGAAAACACTAGAACCGTATCCGTTTGTAATAGCGGTATGGCGATAACCCTAATTCAACTCATTTCACTCATGTACACCCAAACCTCCTGTAGCTGCATGGCCCAGAGCATGGACTATAACAAATTACCACAGAGCAGCTCCGGTTTGGCCTTGGCGTTGTTTGGTGTGGTGCAGACGCCGGTGAAGTCCAAAGCGTTGCCCAGCATGGTGTTCATCCTACGGAAAATGTCTGCGTTACTGCAGGTGGACAGAGCCGGAGACTCAGGGTCAGAACTCTCAGGCCTGCGGGGGTCGTTTCTCTGCAAGAAGACAGCCATTTCAAACTTTTTGGACGTGCACGAGTTTTGGAAGTGCAGCGGAAGTCAATTAAACGCGTGGGGGTAACCGCTCACTAGTCACAACGTTGAATGAATTACTTTCAAATCTCATTATGGTACAGTCCAGCACAGCAGCAACAAAGCCCTTGGCTACAGGTCAAGTGCTAACAGGGAGTTTAGGCCTTCCCAAATTCAACAGTTTACATTAGCTGAACCCTGTAGTTTATTTTCGACTCACCAGTGAAAAGGCCATATTGTGGACTGACGTCTTCGAAAAATGCCAGTATAACAACGTCGAACTACAATAGCAGCAGTGGGTCATATATGAAGTCTTTTAAACACGCTAATTAAAAACAATTACCTCAACGTGTGCGCGACCAATGAGTGTGTCTCTGGAGCCACGGTCCGTTCACGGGCTCCTCATCAAAGAGCGCCAACGAGGAATACGGGTCACGTGATTTATACTAGCTACGTGCGGTTGACACGCAAGGGCTGCTCAAACTGAATGTTTAACTTGATGAAGCAGTACATTTACAATTATAAAGAAATCAATCTCTCGCTTTGACTGACGTCACCACTTGCAGTTGCCTGACAAGGTGCTGACCCGCCATGATGGAGGGAAACAAATAAGCGCGGAACTAGCATTTATCGTACTCGGCGATTTCAAAATATTGGAACCGATTAACAAATACATTTTTTTTAATAAATTTTGATATACAATATATTGAGATGCCAGAACCAACGGACGAAATTCAACCCAAAACCCACTTGTGGGAGGAGTACCCGTTGGAAACACACGAACCTATGGGAAGATCGTGAAAGTTGCCACCCATAAAGAACATGTGGTCTTATTGCTATACGTCACCGGGTGACCTGCACAAATATTTGTAAAGACAAATTACACAAATATTAATAATATATAATATAATATAATTTTTGCACCCTTTTTACATTGAAGTACCGTGTTACTGCAGCATAGGGATTTTAATAGGTGAGGCGCGCCTCCCCTAGGGGGCGCCAATGAGTCAAACTGTTATTTCACTTACAGCAACAAAACCTGCATTGACACATTTAATCTGACTATATATACTGTATATATATATATATATATATATGTAAAGAACATAAAACGTTTTCAGATACATTCTATCAGTTGTTATAACGTCATTGCCAGGAGCAAACAGAAGATGCATTTATTGCACAGGCGTGTATGGGTCAGGGCAGGCAGACAGGATTTTGGGGAAAGGGGGCTCGGCTGTCCTTACCTACTCTATAGGGGAGGCTGAAAACCCCTGGCAATACAGTAACAGAAGCAAAAGTATTTCAGTAAAAATGCCAAGGTAAAATGATCCCAATAGTAAATTGTAAACTACACCCATTAAGTTGTTATAAGAAACTTTGAGTATATTTTATAATGTACCTGTATGTCTGAATGTGCTGTTGTTGTACCTTGAAGGACATTTTGATGATCTAGACATCAGACATTATATTTTTTCCTTAAAATTAGAGGGCGGGGGGTTGATTAAGTCGCTGCTCCCATATAAATTTGGTAATCAGAAAAGCCCCCCACATGGGTCAAACATAGTTTCAATTTGTCTTTTAGCTGCATATTAGTATAAACACAAGGGCAACTTTCAGGCAATCCTGGCGAGATATCATCAAACCTCAACTCTCTATGGTCCTCATGCAGCAAGACCTGTGACCTACCACTCACAGAGATCACTGTATGTACCGTCGTGGTTTAGGAAGCGGACTTGGGTCCGGAAGGCAGCTGCCCAGTCACCACTGAGGTGCTCTGAGCATGGCACTGTCCCCACACACTGCTCCCCGGGTGCTTAAAAGCTGCCCACTGTTCACTTTGGTGATGGGTTAAAAGCAGGGGCTCAGTTTCGTTGTATCCTCGTGGTACAATGACAATACAGACACCATGAAATACAATAAACAAATCTCCACATGGGGTTTTTCTGGCGAAGTCATACATAACTGACGTATAGGTTGTTAGCCAATAGAGGGCGACAAAGACTTGCATTGAAAATATTTCCTGCTCTTTAAGCTGGTACGTTGTAGACCATCAGGAGCTGTATTCAGTTCCAGCCTTCTGTACCTGTGACCTTACTTCTTAAATAACACCATTTATGATCATATCTTTATTTGGTCATAGAACCTGTCATATATTCTTGTGGCTTATTTTATACAGAGCATGTTAAACCACAAGGATCCAGGTTAACAATCTCTATCATGTTAATTTAAATTTACCGTGGCTCCTTATCTTGAGTTAAGATGGCAGTGTAAATTAAGGTTAACATCATATTCATATTGCAGGACAGGTATTGTCACATACCTTTAGCAATAGAAAGGTTGTACTGTATATAGACTTTACTTCTGTCGCTGGCTTGGTCTTAAACGTAAAAACAGCAGAGAAAGAAATAGTGTATTCTGTCTTCAGATTCAACGCATCCACATCTTCACACATTATTGATTTAATGTCAATCCAGATTTTCTGTGTGAAAGTGCACTTACATGACCTGTTTTTACTTTAAAGGCATGGATACAAATCAGAATTCTTTAACTGGTTTTAACCCTATCAAATATGTACTGCCACCATGGCTAGTGAAGCCTCTGTAATTAAAAATATTTCCAGCTGTAAATTATTATTATAAAGTCAGTGTATGCTAAGAGAATTAAAACACGTTGTCTAGTGCTAAATTAACAATTAAAAAAACAGAGGATAACTATTAGTTAAAAAAAAGACACAGTGTTTTACTGCAATGTAAATATAAATTCAACCAATCAGTAAAAAGGTAGTTAAAAAAAGTTGCAGACAATAAATATTTTCCTAGTATTCACTCCATCAGCCTGTGCTACGTTCGTACGTGGGCATAGGTAGTTGGCACAAAGATCTGAAAGTATGTGAAGGGTTAATATGCAAATCTGTAAGTGTGTGAGGGAAACAGACTGGACCCAACCTGAGCTGAATCTAGGTGCTATTGTGTAATCACTGATTACCAATTCGTATGTTTGTTCACCTTCTGAATTGCCCTCCTTGTAAGATGTTTGACGTGTTCAGTTGGATAGACAAATTATATACTTATTCATTATTTGAAATATATTTTCCCAGTGTGGGATCAGTAAAGTTCAACCTTAACCACATTTATTAGTCAGTACTAATGTGATAATGTATATAAACAGATAGCTGTTTATTTGGATATAATAAAGTAAATATGTTGAGCTCACAATTAAGATGAATACATTTTTCTGAGCAGCATAAGAAGCAAGATTTGAGCCACCTATTTTATGATTGAATTTACTAAAATGATTAAAATCTGTTTTCTTTTGATATTTTAAATCCTTGTAATTACCATATTTAATTTCTGACAATGCTGTTGAATCTGGGTTAAGTGCTCACATTAAACGCCCAGTGATAAAGCCTCAAAGAAGAGTCAGTGGGTTTGGCAGCACTCCTATTGTGAAACCACTTCATCAGCACATGATAGACAGATGTCCAGTTATCCATGAGCAGCTGCTTGTATAGAGAGCAGTCACTGAAGAGTGAGTCCCCAATGGTCATGGTTGACTGAGTGTAGCCTTTTAACCAGAGTGTCAGTCAGATCCATGTGGGAGGGACAAAGACAATAGGTGCATTACTTAATTATTGAAGTCAACAGGTGCTGAACCAAGAATTTTTGGTGTTTTTATTAGCTTCCATTTGCAGCTTATAATTCTTCATGGTATTAAATTAAAGATGCTCAGCCAAGAAAAGCATTCACTTCTTTTATTCATAAGATGGGATTTTTTTATTTAATTTTTTTTTACATCTTATGCACAGCAGATACAGCGAGAAACATGTTCTAAACCACAAACCAAATAATAATCCCATTACTTTAATCCTGTTTCCATTTCAAAAATGTCCCCCTTCAAAAACAATGTTTGTAGTCCAGCTTCACATTCTGAAAGATAATTTTAAGAATCTCATTTAGCAGACTAGCACAAGCCATGTTCAGAATACTTCAATTTTTTTGTCCGACACCGACATCCTCTTAAACAAATTGCACTTTTTTTACCACTTATTTAAAACTACTTCCACAGGATTAGAGGTTCAGAAAACACCAAAAAGAAAACACAACAGACGACTTAACATCCAACTGATACAGGATCATTATTCAGTTGCACAAAAATGCATAAATATACATTACGCAACAAGTACAAATATTTGTACTCTCTTCTACTCAAATAATGACAGACACTGATATGATCATAAAGGACAGGAACTGTCAGAACAAAGGGATTTATTCACAAGTCCATGCAAGATAAGCCATTATCACACAACAGCCTAACTGTCACAGAGGTTAGAGCAAGAATCTACATACAGGAAAAAAAAAAGAAACTTTTCTGTCTAGGCCAGATTTGGAGGCAAAACAAATACTTAGAAAATTAGGATACACAGAACTCTGAGTTCTAAATTCATGCCAAAAACTAACATGCAATGACCTAACAATTGTAAACCTTCCGGGAGCACTGGAAACACAACGGAAGGACAAGCTTAATAATGGTAACTTCAATGCATCAGCGGTCCTCAGCAAATACAGTATAAACTTTATCTGGACTTTACATACTTTTAACGAAGTGCTAAAGAATGGTACCGCAGAAGTTGCAGAGGATAAGCTGAGATTGTTGACAGCAAGATGATCAACTAAGACCCCCCCCCCAATCCCCAAAAGACAGTCAGGAGGAGATATAAATACTGTTAGTTTATAATAATGCACATCTGTCCATTAAATTAACCTGATTAAATTAACCAACAGCTTGGCAAACCTCACTTCAGGTGGACGTAGGTGTGGTTTCCACAGGCCTGGAGGAAAGGAGGAGGGTGGGGGGGGGCAGATTTAGTCAAAAAGTAGGCAATCATTGGTTTATTTAAACAGTACAACAATAACAGCCTTGAAATATTTAGAGTATTTTCAATGTTTGAGGTTACACATTTTTTTGGGTGAATACTGTGCATTGTATTTATACCAACTTGCACTTGAAAATGTGAAGATTTAAATGTATTGATTATTGCAGTGGTTTATATTTGGTAAGTTGTGAGACAAAATTTATACAGGTCATACAATATAACGTCTTCCACTTTCTCCCCTTTTAAATGGGTTATTTTGGAGGATCATTTTAATTCAAAATTTTAAAAGTGAATCAAAAACAAATTTGTCCTGTGAATTTCAGTTTTACAAATAAAATTGACGCGACTTGAAAGATAATGCAGATCTACACGTTTAAATTGGATATGCTACAAGAAAAACATCCCACACCAAATGTGGTTGAATGTTAAAATAACATTTGTCACAGTAAATGAAAATATATAGTTTCCTATCATTGTACAAGTATTTATTATTATTATATTATATATTAGTGTTTATCTCCTGTGGGCTTACTAAAAACATGAGTAAGTATCTGCTCCTTATAAGGTAATGAAGGAATACCTTTACATGATATGATATTCAGCAGGTACAGAAATCTAATGAACTAAAAGTTACTCACTACAAATCTAACAAAACTGCCGGGATTTCCATCCAGGCTGGGAAGTCTCAGAGGGAGTGGGGTACCAGCGCATCTAAAGAAACACAAACACAATCAGGTTCACTAGACCAAATCCAGAATTCACTGCTCCCAGCCACAGTTCCCCAGCACAATTCAATCCATTTAACATGCTTTCAAAGTAATTTCAGTAAAAAGTTGTGAGAAGACTGTCCCCTTAAAGTGCTCAACAGTCACTGAAGCCCAGAGAATGTAGGTCACATAACAGCTCATTGAAGACAATAGCCCTGTTAATTACTTAACAGGCGTGAAAAAGTGGAGAGTTTAAACTCTGTGTTAAATATTTCCACTTGGTAAGAGCTGGTGTGGCTGAACCTGTGACTTAAGCCTGTGGCAGAATACGGCCCTCCATTCATGAGCACGTAAACAAACAGGACTGAAACCACAACTGCTGCAACACTTTATCATCGGGTTGGGAGACGTTTGCATTTCAGCTATTCATGCTGTGCACTGCCATACAGTCAGATCTCTCATAAAGAGATCTCTCATAAACTACTGTTTGCAAACATGTATCTTCTTCTCCAGCAGGAGCACAGAGTAAGAGAAAAACAAACAAACAAAAAAACAACTAATTTTGGCATAAAATTCACTTTATTCCACAAAGTGGACGCCTATGTCACTGCTGTCTACCTCGGTGTACTGCACCCATGTGTTCTGACACAGCTTGATGAAGTTGGCCTACTGTGAACTTCAAATGACCCAACACAAGAACTATTTTCCATTCCTCCCAATTGTTTAGCCAAACCTTGCCCGATGCCCTGCCATTAGAACTACTGCTGCAGCATTTAACCTGTATCAACGACAGTGTCAATACATTATCCTTGTCACTTAGATTTTAAACTAAGTAAATGTAACAGAATTTGAACAAACTCAAATATATATTGAAAAGTTTGGACAAATTATAAAACCATTTTTATTTCTAAACCCTAGTCCTTGGAACAAATTTTTTATTGGCTGAAAGACAAAACACAAGAGTTGGGGAAACAAATTGAGAAAGAGAGAAAAAAACAAAACAAACTTTGCACAGAAAAGGAAAATGTACCCTGTTGTTGCTTAAGTAGTTCCGGTTTATGAATGTCTGTTTCCTTAGCATAGCTACATAACATTAACTTTTATTATGATAACATTATTTCCTCTGACATTTTCTGGAATCTCTTCTCTCAAACTATTCATTTGAAATCCTTATTAAATTTAAATACCTAAACTGGGTAACAGGTGTTCAGACTACGACAGTCAGGAAGTGCTCTATCGTCACTCTGACGCAACGACTTCCATTAAAAGTAATAAGTTACACCATCTTGTCAGAGAACATGCAGAAGGAGAGAAAAAAAAACACCACTAAAACTGGAGACCTGAGAGATTAAAGCTGACTTGATATACTACAGTAAGGAGAGTGCACATCATTTCCACTGATGGCAGGGAACAACATTTTCCATTTCAGATAATTTATTTCTGTACTACTCGTCTAGTTTTAAACTACACTTAGTTCCATTACATTATTGCACCAGTCGTAAGGCCAACAACACTACACATATTTGAGTCTGAGCTGGGCTTGTGCTCAGTGATCGTTATCTGTCAGGACAAGAGTTTGAACCTCTGCCTTTAACAATGCAGCAAACTAATCCCAAAACCAGAGCACTTGATTCCAACGTATCTGAAATACTGCTCCATTAACAAACAAAGGATGTCGAACTATATATGTGTAGAAATCAGTGATGACTAAACATGAGGACAGGTAAGTATAGAAAGAAAATGGAAGATAACACACACCGGTTGGTCCCTCACCTGGGCGTGGAGGGCTGCAGCAGCGGCAGCGGCCGCAGGGTAAGTGAAAGCTGCGTGAGGGAGGCCCGGGGTCAGTTCTGTGGTGTACAGAGGATAAGGAGTCCAGGCATCTGGTGATGCTGGGATCAGTGCTGCCCCTGTCAGATCATCTGTGGAAGTACGAGGCAGCAGGATACAAGAAGGTAACAATTATTCAATATAGAGATAATTGAAAATTGTTTGCATTAATATAAAGACATTTACAAAATTATTTTCTAGTCACCTGATTTTAGGTTTACACTGGCAAAATATGTAACAAGTATCAATGCAATAATGTCATTAAGTGTTCATTAAAGATTTCTAGAGGGTTAATACTGTTCAATATTTTGCTCTGCCTCAAAATACAGTGCATTTTTCTAGATAAAGTACAAAAAGCAGCACATACGTCGAGGCTGTCGTGAGGATAGAAATTACATTTTGACAATTTGTTGTTGTTGTCTTTCTAATCCCAGTCTATGTGCAAAGAAAATAAAGTCAAGGTTCACCGTCAGCATCCACGGCCCTAATATAAACCCTTACAAGACTGCCGTTACCCCAGCTGGACTAAGCAAAGCAGCTGTCTAAGGAATTGACATGACACATGCATGTGGAGGTGAGTTAGTCTGTACTTTGTTAAAACACCCTTTATTTATTTATTTATTTTTAAATCCGACTGTTCATCTCTGGAACAACATTATTCCAAGAGACTATTGAATAAAAAAGGAGAACTGGCACTGCCAGGGTGGGTGTAGGAGAGAGCCTAGAGTGGTGCAGCCGTACAACTTACATGGGTCCCGTGCAATGAAGTGAGCTCCTAGAGCAGGGTGGATATTTGTGGGGTTCGGTGTGGCCATCAGCTTACTCTTTGCCATCTTCGTGTTGGCTTTAGCAAACTCTAAGCGCAGGGTCTGGGGACTTTCGGGGTCAAAACGGGGGGGGGGGGTAGATAGTATTGTAAGGGAAAGCGGGCTTAGATTTAAGGGACAGAAGATTCAGTCCCTCTTTAGCCTTCTTTCCCAAGTCAGGTTTCAATATTTTAATGTATCCTTGCTTCTCTTGAACCAAGGTCTGATCCATGTGAGTGGGCAAAGGTCTTCAAAACTGAGAATTAAAGGATACACCAAAGCATTTCAACACTGACAGCATCTCTTTCTCCTCATGACAGTTCAAGAGCAAAAGCCACCGTGGGAGCAGCTTGCACCTCAAGAGAAAGGAGGAGGCGGAGACGAGGAATAGGGCCAACTGTGAGACTGGGTGTAGTTTGTTGGCGGTGGTTTTAACCTTGCTTGTGTTCTTGTGCCCTAAGCATTGTGCCCACATGCAGGTGAGTAAGATTATGGTGTGTGTGCATCTGTGTGTATGTGTTGTGTGTGAGTGAAACTGCTAGTGTCTAAGAGGTGATGCTGATAAGGAATGCTAGGCTACAAGAGAGAAGTGTTAGACACTGCCAATGTGGGCTATGGGTGACAAAAATAAGGGTTACACTACTGAGGTTGTGTCCAAATAACACTACACGTGGCTACAGAATGAGTAGGTAACAGTAAAGCAGTGAGGGCTATACCAGACTGACAAGGATGTGTACCAAGGTCAAAGTAAACTACCGTAAGGCTAGGGGATTCTGGCCTCTTTCCAAAAATGGCCCTGCCATTGAATTATAAAAGACACAATGGGTTGGCTTTCAGAAAATGTATGGAATAATGAATGTTTTTTTATTTACTTCCCAATCATTTTATTAAGCCAAAGTTAGAACAAACAGCATCATTAACATTAGGGGGAAACAAATAAAAGGAAATTTAATGATAGGGTCCAGTAATGCTTACATTCAGTGCATTTTTTGCAGCTTCAGCTCCAGACCGGCTGTCAAAGGTTACAAACCCAACAGGCTGTAAGTCAGAAAAAAAAAAGTTAATCATCAAAGCAACAATTCATTGTATATATATATCTTAAGCATTTAAATGTTAAAAACTGCCTGTTGATGGTTAAAACAGCTACACCCACTGATGTAAAGAATCTCACCTGTTTTGAAGTTAGCTTAATCAGTGACCCTTCATAACCCTGTGGAGAGGAAAGATGGCCAATTATCCACCCAGTCACATGCAGGAAGTCAAACATGAACACCTCCTGCTGTACAAGAAGTAACCTGCTTGTGTGCACCTTCACTTTCATTCTATCAACAGGAAATCGCTAATCCCTCTGCAGCAGTGATGCACTCACATGTGAAATTAGTGGAGGTTACATAAAAGGAAACAACACTTTCAACATTCTTGGAATTTTCTTTCATTTAACTATGGCAGAGAACAGTCTCAAAACTATAAACCAAAGAAATGACTCAATCATTTGACTGATCTATACAAAATTACAATATAATTTATAATGAATTTCATTTCTGTATCTCTAAAATCTCATGTTTTGTGAATATGCAATGTGTAGAATTCTGCATGTACAGTAGCTCCCTTTCCAACTCTGCAAGTGGGGCTAGAGAGGCAGTTTTGTAATATAACAGTGTTGTATTTTACAAGCTGAGAGCAGGGGAAAACATAGCTTTATATAAATCTAAACCATCTCAGTCAAGACCATGTGCACAGATCAGGAGAACTCACTCCTGGTACCCACATCACTGAAGTTCATTGGAATGAATGAGCCCAACTCAATAATAAATAAAGTGACTTGTAGAAAAAAAGAAATTCCAGAAAAATGTGGGGGAATTTTGTCTCTGCGGAGTATTGAGATGGGATTTCTCTTGATCCTGATTTACAGCAGCAGGGAAAAAGTAAAAGCTATCCATGGTCAACTCCAAACATGACTCAACTTCAGAAAGAAATAACAAGATAATACGGTCAAACTGACTTGGGTGAAACAATACTGAGGTAGCAGCAGAGGATGGAAACCAAATGATGCCAATTTTAAGTGTTTTCACATGGTTTCAAAAACTTTAAAGTTCCCTACGTAATGGGCAAGCTGGGTCACAGAGAGGGGCTGGTGGCCCAATCAAACGGGGGGCTACTCATTTACACATTCCACATGATCATCCGTGTGTGGGATACCACTTCCAATTTGGTTAGTTAGGACAAGGGTGGGAGGGGTGTTTATAGAAGAGGAACTTGGTCAAAAACACACCAATAGGTGAACAATGGCGTGTCCCCATTTCCATAAATGCAAATGTTTGGACTTTCATTAACAGGAGGAAAGTTTAATTCCCACAAGAGAACTGCTGACAAACTCCCTACTGTTTGAGATGATGCACTGTAGGGGTGCAAAAAATTAAAAAGGCTGCAATGGCTTTTTTTTTGTGCTTTACAATGGATTAAACTGTCACTCTATATTTCAGGAAAATCCTTTAAAAGGTCTTCCATTTTTATTTTTTAAAGACAGGAAAATGCCAGATGATTTCTTCTGCCCGTTTCCAAGGAAGCCTCAGAAACGTCTTGTTGCAACTCACCTTGAAAGGCCTAAAGAGGAGGTAAAGTTCCCGTGGTTTGATATCTACTGGCAGACCACTGACAAACAGTGTTCGTACCTGCAAACAAAAAGCAGAGCTGTATTTGGCCAGTTCATAGTGACTGTTGTAATATACAGCATATTTCAGCCTCTGGAAACAAAAACATGCAAGATGACATTTGCGCACACGCACACACTGATGAGATATGCTTGGCCATACTCCCAAAATCTATCATTCCTTCTGAATAACAAACTGCATGCGAAGTAGTCTATACTACACACGTGGTATCAGGGCCTGGAAAATGAGAGAAATGTTTTGATTTGAAGATATGAAATGAGCCACAGAGTTCACTGGACAAACATTGGACCAGAAAGGGGTTTTAAAAAGTCCAAGCTAAAATAAACTGATAAATAGACTGCAGTACCACAAACACAGAACTTATTAGTGGTTAAAAATAAAGCTATGTATTTATGTTAATGAATGCTTTTTGCACAGCACATTTACACTCTTTAATACAGAAAAAAAAAACTCTGCTGACATGACTTTGACAATAAACATTACTCCACATCCTGCTGAGGACCCCTGGACCCTCTTTAAGGACTGACCATGACCAATGCCGTGTATAGTCCACAGAGTTCAGGGGAAATAGAGTGCAGCAGGAGAGGCCCATTAGTTCCAAGCCGGTGGGGAGGCCCTTGGTACAATGGACCGTCAGCGGAACAGCACTGGACAACAGTGCACGGCATGACACCATTTCCTTCCTCTGACCTGCGACCCCAACCCTGCCGGCCTTCTAGTGTTTTTCAGGTGCAGCTCAGCAGCAAGTCTGAGTCCTGTACATGTCAGCACATACTGCAGCACCAGGCCAACACAGTTGGACACCCCGGCGGTGGAGACGTTTAAATCCGTCCTTCTGATCCTCATTGATTTTAGCGTAAAGGGACAGTGAGTGGTTGAGTTTACTACTGGAATTTATGGGGACTTTTTTACAACACTTTCAGAGCAAAATGATTGTTGCAAGACTCAAAAGCATCTTAATTCATCTTATATACTCCTTTATAATTATTCACTTCATTTTCCTCACAGAAGAGAGACGGGGCAAACACAGTGCAGGAAAAGTAACCACAGTGGCCACACTTAGGGCTTTGTTGTGAGATAATAGAAGGAAGACCAACAAAAGGCCCAACACTCCCCGTCATGTCATTAACGAGACATTTAACCGATCACTTAGACGGATGGCAGCAGATTTTATTTTATTTCGTAAAGTTACATTTCCTTCAAGTATAGCGAATTGGGAATTCTGAAAATTATTTGATTATGTGATTTTTTTTTAATGATGTTAAAGACGTAAAACGTTTTTTAATTATTGAGATGACACGATGAAAATCAAGAAGTTAATACAAAATGAGAATTATGACATTATGGCATCTTTTAAAAAATAATGCAAGATAAAATTTGTTTTAAATGTGATATTTATTTTTTAATTAAAAACACGTCATTAAACTAACTGCTGGAGAAAGGTTTGAAAATGAAACGATAATACGTTATTTTAGGGGATAAACTCATGGAGTTGACATTAAACTGATTTTATTGATTGCCGAATACACGCAGCTGGACAAACGAACTAATTTGTAAACCTCGTTGCGCTACAGGACCAAGCCATTAATACGAGTTAAAAATTAAAATAAATAAATTGTCATTGAGATTTGTCCAAAAATGTTTCTGCCTTATTTCAGTTGTTCTCGAATTTTTTTCCTGTTTGTTTTAAAGAAAAACTAATATAGAAATGTCGCTCTTAAGATAATTTCTGACCGCTTTTCAAACTTTTTTTCCCCTCAGCAGATAAACTCACCTCCTCCTCCATGGAGACGTTGTTGTTGGGTTCTCCTTCTGACTTCAGACTCATACTGACCGTCTCTTCAGCTACGGTTGCCGCTGCTGCTGCTGCTGCTGAACAAAGAATCAAGTTTTTCCTCGTCGACTGGAATTTGCTCCAAGTTCGTCTGAAGCTGCTGTGAAGATTCTGCTGCTGCCGTTTGAGTTTGAGCAGAGAAGCTGTGCCGAGGTGAGGTCGTGCGTAACAGGACGCAGTCGTATCCGAGGGTGTTCTGGTCGATGAACTAACAGTTGTGTGTGGAGAGAGAATCATTCATGAAGAGTGAGAAGAGAAGAAGAAGAATAAAAAAGCAAAGATAAGAAACACAGGTGGCCGCGGAACTGAAAGTGAGAGGTGGTTCTGGTGCTCCGTGTGTGGAAAAGTGAAAAGGACAGGGGGAAGACGTGCGCGTAAAAACCCAGGAAGCCTGTGCGCTTACATCAATGCCCTCAGCTAGGCCACTGAGAGGAGTGAGTACAAGTTCACTTTTCTTCCTCTCTCTCTCCTCCTCACTCCTATACACCTCCTCCTCCTGCCTTTCAATTAGGTCATCAATTATGTTGGAGTGTGCTGTGAGCCGTAATCAGTCTGTAGATCCGCCTCAGCTGTTGTTGAAGGCCCGGCCCCTGCGTCATCGCATCACCGCCTCCGTGGTTCTATTTTAACAACTTAACCTCCATCTTTGCATTTATTTATCTATTAAACTAGGCTTGATGGTTTTGATGGTTGTATGCCTGAGTCGCTTTGATACTGAGAAAAAATTGATGTTTTTTTTAGTGATCCTGGAAACGGCTCTTGATTTAGTGAAAAGAGTATATTTAGACAAAATGCTCATCAAAGCTCAGGTGTTACTAAACAAACACGCGTGACAAAATGCGTTCATTTTCAGTAGTGTGACAGTGATCCACACTCCGCTACAGCTGAATGGACCGCAATTGTCTTTCATTTTGAACTAAATTTAGGTAAATGTTTTTTTTATATGGCTATATTCTGTGAAAAACCCATTTTATTCTACTGTAGTTTTACATTATGTATGTGCGGTTTGTATGTTACCGCAAAGATGAGACATATTTATTAATGACAAACCAAATTTCATTTGATGTAGCCGTAGCTAAATAACACAATATTTATATTTCATTTACGTATATTTGTTTTAATCACTGAAACACATGAGGCCCAGTTTATTTCTTGGAACTTACATTGATACATACATTTTAATATTTCAGGACTCAAAAACAAAACTACATCTTTTTTTATTGAGCAGGATCTCTGCACTATATTATATTTAAGGGATAATTATCGACTCACAAAAAAGAGTATATACATATATACTCTTATATATAACATATACAAAAATGTTAAATAATGATTCAACTCTTTGACAATATAATCTAACACTTGACATTTAACAAGAGTCAAGAATTGATGACATATTTGTATCAGTTTTTTCCATATTTTGATTTTATGAAATATAAAATTATAAATTGATATATTACACATACTACATCATACATGTAAATATATAATATATATAATTGAGGTAATAACTAGTATTTATTATTTTATGTAAGTATTAGTAATAGGTTATATGTAAAACGGTGAAGATGATGATACTACTACTACTACTACTACTACTACTACTACTACTACTACTACTAATAATAATAATAATAACAAAGGTTGTGACAGGCTGAGGTTAGGGTTAGTGTTAGTTAGTGTTGTGTTCCAGCCCAGTTCTGGACCTGAGCCCAGCAGTATGTTTCCAACACATTATGTTTCCTCATCACAAGGCAGCTCTGAAAGGCCAGACCGTTTCCTGACTTTGTATAAGAATACAATCAGGAGGCAGGACCAGGAGGGGCTGCAGAATGGACAGACCTTTTCTCACTGTTCTCCTTGGTGATTCGATCTAAAAATATCCAGGCCCTGCCATGTTTTAACTGGTTTCAACTCTGTTGAACACAGAGAAATAATGTGTGCATGTTGTATATTAGTTGACCTAAAAAAGATTTTTTAAATGTTACTTAAATGAATACATAAAATTATTCATTTTATTTTTGTTGTAAGTTCACAAACACAAGTACAATAATAAATCTAATTATTTGGGAGACAAGATAAATATACATAAATAAACAGTACGCAAACACATTTTGCAAAGCACACAGTACTCACAAATTATTGCAGTAAAAATAATCATCTTTGAAAAAATTAATATTTCTATCCTGCTTTTTATTATAACAAAATAATACAATATTGCATGAATATTGCAGTATAAAAATGAAATATATTAATTTTAGGTTTTAAAATAGTATTGCTGATGATTGGGATAATGGTGTTGAACTATGGAGTAGTAACCAGTATGTTGTATGTACTGTATGCAAGAATGATAAAGAATAAACATAGTTCAGGCCTCTGTGGGCTTCAGTCAGCATTTTGGGAAATGTCATAGGAACAACATACATAATGTTCTGTTTGTTATTTCACTAACACTAGCTGCCCATGAAAAATTGAGTATGCTGCTGCTGCTGCTGCTGCTGCTGCTGCTGCTGCTGCTGCTGCTGCTGCTGCTGCTGTTGCTGCTGTTGCTGCTGCTGCTTGATCATTAATTCATCCAGTGGTTCCATAACTGCTAAAAATGAATACTTTTATTTCTACCTATTCTATGCATTTCAGCGTTCAGCTTCCACAAGGAGAAAATATTGAACACAAAAGGTCATCATCAACCTGCTCCTCACGGAAACACATCCACCCAGTCTTCATTTAACTCACGTTCATTTACATGATACCTTTTATTGCTTCTAAAATGTAGAATTAGGAAGGGCATGTGTTAACAGCAGCTGCAAAAAAATCATCACAAAATTATTAATTGAAGAACACTTTTTTAACCCTTAAGTTATGCTACAGTACTTTAAAAAATAAGAAAAATGATATTTAGCACTACCTTCATCCTCTCTTTTTCTTTCTCTGTCCTCTGTCTTTCCCTGTAACTTCTGGTCTTAGTCACTGACTGTTTCTGCTTGACAGAGTACAGGAAGCTTATGTCAATAGTTTGTTTATGAATAGTTCCTCTGCAGCCTGAAGAATCTAATTGATTGAGTCACGCAGAAGGCTGGGCCAATAGTTCTTGACATCTGTGTCTCATGGCAACAGAATATCAATACAAAGAACAATAAGATGAGGATTAAAAGTCAGCCACACAGTGCAAGAGTGGTTAGTGCTCTTTCCTTACAGCAGTGACATATTGTAATTCCTAGAAAACTGCTCTTATCATTTCATAACAAAGGGGAAAAAAAGACAATTTTAAGACGGGTTGTAGCCAGGACCCCTCAATTGACAGGTGTGGGTCTGGTTTCCTCCCATAGTTCAAAAACCTAGCTGGATATTCTGGATTGGCCATAGCTACAAATGTGAGTGTGTTTTTTTTGGCTGTCATGGTGCCCTCATCTGTCCATGGTGAACCCCACCCTCACCTGATAATTACTGGGATTGGCTCTAGCTCCTCCAACCTCATCCAAATGTTTGTGATTCTGCCATACAAAAAAGCATCAACCATTGTTTTTGAAGTTGAGTTTTAAAGTTGTTAAAAAAGATGGAGAAGTTTATTATTCTATTGATATTTGAGTAGTGTTAATAAGGCATAAGTTTAATGAGGAAGAAAACAACTTATATTAAAATGAGTACTTGTTACACCAATTTCAATTTAATGGAGAATTTAGATTTTGTTGTTGACTGAGGTACAGCACACTCTGGTATGTTGTAACCAGCTATTTAATACACCGTGCACAGCATTTGCTATGATATTTTGAGTGTGTCCAGAAATAAAAAATAGTGTTGCAAACCATTAACTAACTTAGTTACTAAATTACTTACTAAATTAGTTTCTCTTTGCAATTCACCCAAATGAAGAGAATTAAATCAGCTTTTCTCTCCCCCCTCCAGCCCCCGCATCTCTCTTCTTCCTGCCCACCAACACCTGACAGAAACAGAGGCAGAGTGGCTCAGAGTCTCAGGATAAGCCTCATGTTTTATTTGTGAAAATTGGCCCCATTGTCCCATAAGTCACCTCACACAGCACTCTTCGTCTTCACGCCACACTGAGCCTGTCCTGGAGCATCAGCATCATCACCCGCTGCTAGAGCACTCAGATTGTGTTCTGCGTGTCCTCTGTGGTGCAGCCAAACATCCACCCGTAATTCCTAAGAAACTGTGAAGCTTTTTCTTCCACACACACTAAGTGCTGGACACATCCGTGATGTTTCATGAATACTTTGTCCACTAAACAGTCCTCTTCATAAATACCATACGACCAGTCGACAGCTGGGAGTTCAGTCTGCTCAGGATTTCTTGAACTTGGAAATATAAAGACCAAAGTAGGAAACGTTAACAGTCTAATAACCTTTAATGAAGCCACACAATTACACAATTCATTTGTGAATTAATCAGTCATTGTGTTTTCTATGTTGCCCTTTTGCTGGCATTTGTAGGGGACGACAAAAGAAGAGTGGGCAGAGAATACCAGTTCCAGCGACAAAAGAAGAGTGGGCAGAGAATACGTTTCCAGAAGTTTCCAGTTAATCTGAACTGACAGCAGGTGACAGAGCTATGTATGGAGCAGGCTGTACATGTTTTTACATCATACCTGAGAACCAAGAACTTTTAGAACCATTTTTTTAAAGAACACATAGTGTTCTTTACAATAGTGTCTTTTTGGTATAAATACACAAGTATGTTGTTTCCTGTTAATCGGCCTCCTTGAAAGGATTGCAGAAGTGTCAGGTAAATCGAAATTTTGATTTTCACAGAAGTGATCAGTGATCTGTTGTGTATCTTACTCACAGTTGTTGGACACTCTTTAACACGATAACCCTAAAATGCTGATGGATTCCAGGGCAGTTAGTTTGCAACTATAAAAACAAAGTCAGTGCCAGCAGCCACTGTATTTATTGTTTTCTTCAATGCAGAAAAACAAAACTAAAAGTTAAAAATTTCCACACAGCTCCAAGATTTGGAACCTGCTTTGAGTCCAGTTTTAAGTGTACCGTGGTGTTTGCAGAACAAACAAAACAAAGTTCCTCTGTTAGTGATGCATTGTTTTTCTGGTTTTCACTGGTTGTGAAATGACTGAAATGTGATAATTATGAGAATATTTTCTATTCTGCAGAAAGACAATTCCAATGAGATGAAGACTATCAATCTGAAATCCCAGTGACATTAACACTAGAACTGGAGTCAAGCTGTACTCACTGTTATTTTTTATTCTCAGCAAAGTATGTAACATTTTCACAACATCCTCCCTCAGCAATGAGGTCTGTACTTCCTGTTTGTAAATGGAATATGGGACAGGGAGGGTTATGCTATTTAAACCAAAGGGCAGTAGATTCCCAGCTAACAGAGCCTGATGGGATCTGGAAGTCTGCTGCCAGCCTCTCAAGGGGGACAGTAAGGGGGTGGGAAAAGGCAGAAAGCAGGAAAACAACATAATGATAGGCACAAATAAGGACAAGAATGGACTGGGATGAAAATTCTGTCAATCAATTTAAATTTTTTCTTCACTCACAGTTTATTTCCAGGAATGTCCTGGACAAAGAACCAGAAATCAGTTACATGCTGCACGTCAAAAGACAATGAACGGTGGTTTACAGACACATTTACATTCATTATTGCAGAACTAGAAGCTAACAACTGAGACAACTTAAAATTGCTAAAATATTAAACTTTTGTTTTCTTTCAAATAATTGCTTCCTGTAGGCTCCTTTTAATGATGGGCAACATTAGGGTTAATATCTTGCCCAGGGACAAAACTGTGTGCCACTGGAATTGAGCCTCATCCATTTGGGTAGAAAAGGAACTCCCTATCTCCACTGATCGACTTCAGGCCCCCTAGAGTTTCTGTTATGTAATTGTATTTAAGAGACTTGATAAGGCACCAAAACTCTTGTTTGTTGACCTGTTGCCTGACTCTAACTGAGATAAGTAAACAACATTTTTAGCAATGTGGCCTAAAAACAAACTGATAGTCAACTCTTGTTTGTCAGAGATTAGAAGGTAGTCCGAGCCGGAGCAGAGGAAAGACTGAAGTGCTTTAATTTTTGTATCTATTTATTTATTTATTTTTGTCATAACATCGTGTAGAACTTTATAGAGTCCTGTTGCTTTCAACTAGTCCTAAAAGCAACACCCTCAGATAACAATCGTTTCCTCCGATAACATTAACAGTATCATCTGCTTCACCCAGAGGAGACAATCTTCTACAGCAGATTTAAATGACGTTTGGACACTTTTCACTCCAGACCAAATAAACACCGCCGTGTTGTCTTTTCTGGAATGTAATCTTTCTTCTGTCTCACCCTGTAAACACAGAAGAGTTTGTGGCAGCAGTGTAAGCCCTAATCTATTATATTTAATATGAATTAAACTTTAAAGTTTCACATTATTAAATCTGTTTATGCTGACAAATATTGTTTAACGTGAATAAATATCTGCTAAGATAATAATTATTGATCAAAATAGTTATAGGGAGCTCTTTAGATTTAGTCATGCAGTGTGGCTTTGGCATGTGTGTGTGAGTGAGCGAGAGAGAGAGAGAGAGAGAGAGCGCTTTAACAACTTTAAATCAGTCATGCTAAGGCGAAAGTTACCAAATATGGTATGTCTTTTCTGAGTGTGCCTCCCTACACTACTCTGCTCCTTCACAACAGTTACAGAGTATGTATGTATGTATGTATGTATGTATGTATGCTTATATGTGTGTGTGTATATATATATATACTCTACATACACACACAGTGGGGCTTCAAGATACGAGAAAATCAAGTGTGACAAAAAATTGGTTTCGATTTTATTTTTTGCTAAAAAGTTATGGAGTCATTTTATGTACTATCTAGTTATAATACTTGTCAATTTAATGCATCTGTTGTGATTTCTTTTTTGAATATATTAAGCACAGACAGGTCAATTTTGTCCGTTCACCATCATCAAACATAATCCTTCAGGGAGCCAATGCCATGGGGCTAAAGATCTGCATGTGGCTTAGGAACTGCAGGTCGCAGACCTCTCATTTAGTCAGGGTTTAGATTTGGTCCCAGTCCAAAGTCTTCTTCCTATTTTTATAAACACTTTTAGAGGCTTTTAGAGTAATGTGATGATGGGATAACATGCTTCTGTAGCTGCAGCCTTTAGCTATTTTTGTGTAAGTGAGGGACGAGACAGCGGTGGAGGAAATACAAAAGTTTCAGTGAATCACTGTGAAATATAAGCGGTGATGGTTTGTAAAAAAATAAATAATTAAAAGATACACCCTGCACGGCTCTGAAGAAGAGACATGAATCATTAACACATAAAGATAATAATTAATTTATATTCCAAATGAAATCAACATTTATTTTGACCAACCATTTTCTTCATTTTTATTCATATAGCTGGCCTTACACATAGTCAGAGAGTTTGGAAGATTATGGTCAGGTGTATCTTCTTCTTCTCCTTCTTTCTGTTGTTCCCTTAAGGTGGTTTTCTATGCCCCCATAGGGTAAAGAATTTTTTTATGTACCCCCCTGAATTGAAATACTATTGAGAATTTGATAATATGTATTTTCTTATATGTACAAACCACTGTATAAGTTGATCCCACCTTGTGACTGAAAGCTTGTTAATTGTTCAAGCATTACAACAGCAGCTCTCTTCTGTCCAGCATATCATATTCCATTGATTCCTCTTTTTAATAAAAAATATTTTCATCATTTTAGTTTACTTTATAACCAACATTACAAAATACAAAATACAAAATAACATTTTTAAATTTCTGTCCCAAATTTTTCATCATAATTTTTTATCCATCTGACCAACATGACATGCAAAATTAGGACCAAAAAATGTCAAAGATTTTATTTTCTAAATTGTATAATGCTCTGTCCATGACAGTGACTCCTAATTTGCGCTCCAGTGGGTGGTGTGAGTCAAAACAGAGATACTGGTCAGTGTGAGTTGGGTTCTTATACACCACTAGGTTGAAATGTCTGTCCCAGTTTTTAGAACAAAATATTCACTTGG